TTCTAGTATCAAGCTGTTATTAACAGCGTTTGCAATCTGGTAATAAGATGCTATGAACACACATACTTTGTGCTTAGCAAGTGTACAATATGCTATTTTAGCGTTCCCGCTCTTCGAAAAAGTTGGTGTTACTGGTAGGCGTCCAGATAAGACAGTAACAATTTTAACACTTCTTACTTGGAACCTTCATGGAAATAATTATGTGTTTATGATAATTCGTTGCAATGTTGCCATTAGACGTAAGTACATTAGTAAAGTTATCGCATAAGGATAAAGTCCGATTCCACATAGCGTGGATTCCGCAATTTTACAACTCAGTCCTGGTATTTCCACTTACACACAAAATTCTGCAAATATTACAATGATTTCAATTAAATTTCATATTTCATCTCCATATATTATAATTGCAATTTATTTACACCAAAGATTATTTACAACATGTGCAAATATGAAACAAATAGTTTTCAAATGTAAACAAAATAATGTTCTAGCAAATTATTATGCAAAGGATGAAAAATAATTCGTAACCATTCGAAAAATATTATTTCTCCGCGTTTCGTCAGGTGAGTGACGATATCTGAGCCCGCTTTCTTAAAGGTGTCCATGGGCGGCGGTATTCCCTTAACATCAGGTGTAACGTCGCTGGGTTGGCAACTTTTCACATTAAAAAAAAATTTGTAAACGTAAAGTAAGTAAATCACAAGCTTATGAATATACCCTGTTAGGCAAAGATTTATTTATTTTTTATTTATTCTTTATTGCAAAACCTTAAAAAAGGATTACAAAGGGCGGACTTAATGCCATTTGGGCATTCTCTCCCAGTCAACCCGGGGCGTGGAGAGAGATCGTGGTAGGTGCAATAAGGTAAAAAAGATCATAAGGTAAAAAAAGATCTCCTATGCAAAAGATAAATAATATGTACCTTTTGTACAATTGCATATTATTGTATAAATATTGAAATGGATGTCGCGGAACCACAACTCGCGTATAAAGTACCGACATACATCGAAACACCGATCTTTACATATAACAAACGAATCGAAAAATGCATCTAAAGACATAAAAGTGATTTTTTTTTTCCCTTCGCACTGAGGTCATCAATCCATATATTGGAGGTTCGTCCTACACTACGAGGACTAACAGTTTGAATAATCAAGACAATAGATTCTTGAAATATTATACCGATATTTATAAATCAATTTTCTATAGAAGTCTGTACTCGGTATCAAAATGTAAATGCGTTTAATGGATGGTTTATGGTGGTGGTAAAAATACCTAGCCAGAACTTAGCATGCGCCTTCTGGCTTACATCTGACATTCTCACGCCGCGAAAATCTCGATAATTCTCAACAATTTATCTTTGGAACTGGCCTTTAAAATACACTTAATCACTTTTTTGTTTTATTTATAGTGATTAATGTTTTATTTTCATTTTATAGAAATTCTGTTCAGCCAGGGTCTCTTTCTGCGACGTACACGCCTACGTTTGGCAGCCTTTTTTAACATTAAGATCAACTATGGACCTCATAGTTGGAAAAAGTTTATATTTCTAGTATCAAGCTGTTATTAACAGCGTTTGCAATCTGGTAATAAGATGCTATGAACACACATACTTTGTGCTTAGCAAGTGTACAATATGCTATTTTAGCGTTCCCGCTGTTCGAAAAAGTTGGTGTTACTGGTAGGCGTCCAGATAAGACAGTAACAATTTTAACACTTCTTACTTGGAACCTTCATGGAAATAATTATGTGTTTATGATAATTCGTTTCAATGTTGCCATTACACGTAAGTACATTTGTAAAGTTATCGCATAAGGATAAAGTCCGATTCCACATAGCGTGGATTCCGCAATTTTACAACTCAGTCCTGGTATTTCCACTTACACACAAAATTCTGCAAATATACAATGATTTCAATTAAATTTCATATTTCATCTCCATATATTATAATTGCAATTTATTTACACCAAAGATTATTTACAACATGTGCAAATATGAAACAAATTGTTTTCAAATGTAAACAAAATAATGTTCTAGCAAATTATAATGCAAAGGATGAAAAATAATTCGTAACCATTCGAAAAATATTATTTCTCCGCGTTTCGTCAGGTGAGTGACGTAATCTGAGCCTGCTTTCTTAAAGGTGTCCATGGGCGGCGGTATTCCCTTAACATCAGGTGTAACGTCGCTGGGTTGGCAACTTTTCACATTAAAAAAAACTTGTAAACGTAAAGTAAGTAAATCACAAGCTTATGAATATACCCTGTTAGGCAAAGATCTCCTATGCAAAAGATACATAATATGTACCTTTTGTACAATTGCATATTATTGTATAAATATTGAAATGGATGTCGCGGAACCACAACTCGCGTATAAAGTACCGACATACATCGAAACACCGATCTTTACATATAACAAACGAATCGAAAAATGCATCTAAAGACATAAGTGCATTTTTTTCCCTTTCAAATTCTGTTAAACAATTCAGGGATCTATAATCGCAGAATTAGTTAGTAGCAATCTACACCGGCCATGGATATTTTCTAGGTTGTTCTTATACAAATAAATATAGACTACATCCATCAGTTTAGGCTAAAGCTAACAGTGAAAATATTTACATGTAGATTTGTTAAATCGACATTTAACAAATCGGTGCTATTTCAGAAAGAATTAGAAAAAGTTCGCATTGTGTATTTTAGATGGACATAATAAATTGATTTATCCATTGGCTGTAGAATATCTATTGGTTTAATTTTGTATTTTTTTTTATGTGAGAAGGTGGCAATCGAACTGGCGATTCACCTGATGCTAAGTTTTAAGCACCGCCCATTATTAACATTTGCAACACGTAACGTTGTGGAACGTTGCCACCTTTTCATAAAGTGGGTTCCGGCTACCTCACTCACCAGACTAAACGCGGAAGTAAAACGCGACCGGTCTTTTGTGAGGTCGTTGTACTTACCCTAACGGACCTGCCCAATTCTTGCAAAAGAGAAGACTGCTGCGTGTCCCTACCACAGATAAAAAATTGTATGTAGATTAATTTACTTAATTTTTATATTCCTTCATTACTGCTCAATATAAGCTGTTAACCCACTAACTTCGCCACTGTGAGTCGCTGATTCGATTCCCACACGGGGAAAATATTTGTGTGATGGAAACGTGTTGTAAAACGTCCTGAAGGAAAAATGTTCTGTATGTCCGTAAAATGTTCTATTTTTTCCCAAGGGTTGACATCAGGCAGACAACCAGTCGTAAGAGAACCAAACCCATTAGCAACATGTTTAACATATTATACCAACCTAGGTAGAATAAGGGCAAAAGAAAGGAGAAGATTGCTGAACATAAACATTTTAACCATTGTATAATGAAGTTAGTATTATATTAAAGTAAAAAAGCTATTGTAAGAAAGTCTAGTATTGATAAATATTATCATTACACTTCGGAATGACAGATTATAATAAGGAATATTACGTAAATTTTTCTTCCTCTAAAATTTAAAACCATTTTGGGTTACTCACTCAAGGAACAATTCGAACGAAATCGAAATGTGTAGTCCGTTACATACCTGTACGATGCAACAATGTTTTGTAAGCCATTACGGAAATTGTGCGGTCATTTAGCGGTGATTGCACGACCAATTTACTTCGAGTTGTGTCGGCTACATGCCGAAAATGTAGTGTGGTGTACCTACCGGACAAAATTCGGACCAAATTGCCTCCTTGTGACGCACTTAGAGAAGAACGACTGCCCCATATTTTGCCTACCCTGTATTTGGTAGAGGAAATGTGACACATACGTATTGAGATTTTCTCCTCTAACATGGTAACACTTTACAGATTAGATTAAAATTTTGAACAATCACGCTTACTTGTGACAATCAAAATATCGCGTCACTACTTCTGGGCGTTAATTATTATGCAATGAATATGTTATAATGTCAGTTAATAATGACCGAGCTAAACACAGTGTCCGACACGATTCAAATTCGGAACTTCACATATCAAGTTGACCACCGAGTAACTAGGACATCAATAGTACGATTGCATAATTTTTTATGGAATATAACGTTTTAAACCAACAATGACTTTGTTTACTCACTCTCGGGATAGATCAGTGTCCGAGCGCTCGCTTTTAATTCAATAGAGAGCAACCTGAGTTCAATTCCCGTTACCCGCACCAAGAAAATTGTTAACTGCAATGTTAAGTGCTGACTTATCACGTGATCAGCAGCGAATCCCTTTGCCGGCACCAAGAGCATTGTTAACTGCAATTTTAAGTGCTTGCTAATCACGTGATTAGCGATTAAAGTAAACATCGCGAGAAAACATGCGTAGTTTCGAAATAATAACAAAAAAAATCTTTCGATGTTAATATGTGAAGACCCCAATCCGCAGTGGGATCGTGGATTATATATTAACATTCTACGTATAGAGGAGGCCTTTGCCATGCATTGGGTCATATACGGGCTGTAGCTTTAATTAACTTTTACTCTCTTTAAATGATTATCCAAACCTAAATATTCACAAAGAAAACGTACGTTGTGTTGATAATCAACCTCACCAGACAAAATTCAAATGTATAGGTACATACTTCCACTCAACACTGGTGTTTGATGTTTACATAATTATATAAACTTTTAGTTAATATTAAAAAAATAACTTTTACTTAATATTAAAAACCATTATTGCTTGTCACATTTAAAACTAGAATAAATGAAAAGTTAAGATGTGTAAAATCGTTATAATCGAAATATAAATAAAATAGATCAATATAAAAAAATGAGGTGTCTAGGACGTTTCATCCACTGCCATTTTCCTAAAAACAAGTTAAGTATATTACAATATAAGGCACCGATGTCGACACAAAAAACATTATCGACATGTATTAAAAAAAATGTCCCAAAGTAAATGAACCTTTTTCTCTCCCCAGCATATATTAACAAAAGCAGGTTTCCTGACGAAAGTTACCGTTCAATTCAAAAAATGTAAAGTAACCTAAAAACCTGCTGCGCTACCATTGCTTCGAGGGTCAAAAGCGCCTTCCAACATACCGTCAGGATGTCTCACCAGCGCGCCAGCATGCCCAACCTGCTCAGAATAAGGCTGAAGTAGCGATATTTTGTGACCTTTCTCTTTCAAGCAATTAACAATTACGTCACCAAACCTGTCTTCTAAATACAATACGTCATTTCTGTTACCAGTTGTAGCACCATACACCCAGCGGGGGGTCGATATGGACTGCTGCAACCCAACACCTTGTACGACATACCTATGGAATATTATCGCTTGAGTTTGGGGCTGACCGTCCCCCCCTCTAGTTCCGTAGACTATAACTCTGCCATCGTTCAGTCGGGCCGCAGCTGGGTTCAACGTGTGGAAAGGTTTCTTGCCCGGCTTCAAAGATAAAATATGGTCTTTTTGCAAATTAAAAGAGACTCCTCGGTTGTGCCACAAGATACCGGTTTTCGGTAAGACCACACCACTGCCGCAGTTGTGATAAATGCTTTGGATGAACGAGACAGAGAACCCTTTCGAGTCCATAACGCCCAGCCAGATCGTATCCCCTGGGCCCTTACCAGCACCAGCGGCTGAGGCCCGATCAAGTGTTATTCGGCGCGCTAATTCAGAAATCGTATGGCCTTCTAACAATGATTGAACGTCAACCTTCATGTAACTAGGATCGGTTATGTACTGATCGCGCAGCAAAAATCCCTGTTTCGTAGCTTCGACAACGGCGTGGATAAACTGCTCTTCGTTTCGACCGTCTATTCGTAACCTGTCGAGGATCGCTAGAATGGTGAGTGAAACTAAGCCCTGTGTCGGGGGCGGAAGGTTAAATATCTCACCCTTCTCATGCAGTAATTTCAAAGGCGATCGTCTAACGGGCGAGTAATTGGCCAGATCTGCTTCTGTTATTGGCATGCCAACACTCGCCATATCTTCTGCTATCCGTTTGGCCAGTTTACCTCTATAGAAGCTATTTAGACCGTTTTCTGAAAGCTCTTTTAAAGTTTCCGCAAGCGCTTTTTGGCAGAACCTTTCGCCAACTTTCGGCACTTTGCCGTTCGGTAAGAAAGTGTTCCCAAAGTTCTGCGACGTTGAAACGCTTTTGCAGTAATCCTGCAAATTTTGTTCGTGTGACGACGATACGGGAAAACCTTCTTCGGCGTATAAAATCGCGTCCTGTAGCAGTTTCGACACCGATATCCTCTGGTAACCGCATTCAGATACGTATCTCAAGGCTTCTTCCCAGCCGCCGACTGTACCAGCGACGGTTATCGCTGACTTGGGGCCGCTTTTAGGTATTCCGTCGTATCCAGCGAAAAAATCCAAAGTGGCTAAGGCGCCCGCCGCCCCGCAAGCTTCTATCGCAACTGGATCACCGTGAGGGGGAATTATGAGCCAGAAACCATCGCCCCCGATACTATTCATGTGGGGATAGACGACAGCGATTGTCGCCGCAGCGGCTACAGCAGCTTCCATAGCAGTGCCACCTTCTCTCAGGATCTTCACCGCACTCTGTGTGGCCAGGTGGTGTGGCGTAACCACCATACCTCGAGGTGCCATGTTGCTAATGTCCATATTTTATATTATAATTAACACCTATTCTGTAATTAAAATAAATATTATATTTGCAGCATAAATCGCAAGTCCCCGTTTACTGAACAGGAAAATTGTGAGCTTTTGCTTATAATTAGAGCTTTCACGTCCTGAATCCCTCATAGAGTCAAAAAGGAAACAATAGACTTGATAAATGTTGGATGACTTTTGTATCCCAGAAAAACAAGAAGTGGATAATTCAACTCTCACCGCAGTCTTAAACGGTATAATACTTTTTCATGTATTTTATTGGCTAATAATGATATATCCGTAGCCAAATAAAAAATGTCAAATATTTTGCAAAGAAATTAAAACAAACTGTAAAAAACAATATTAAGAAATAATGAACCACAAGACTGTTACCAATTTAATCTTAAATTTGTGGTTTTTGCTATAGTCCAATATGTAACATACTGAGACACCTACAGATTTCAGTGAGTACTGCTTGAAATCGACTACACATAATTTTGCCAGGTTCCATTTTATAAAGTTAGAATGATAGGGTAAGAGATGGTGCTAAATAGGATTCCGCTTTCATTTTGAAATAATTTATAGATCTTTTACCAATTAGGTTTGGTGAGGTAAATAATGTTATAATATATTTTCTTCACGTGGGTTAAAAAAAATATAGAACTAAAATATAACACCATCAAAATATATTCTTCGAAACGGTTGCTAGTTGTCGCTATTCCTACGTAACTGGTTTGATTGTATCCTGTTACACTTTTATAGCTAGACTAAAAATATCATTAACATTTGTTTCATAAAAAATAATTTCTATACGTTCCAAGTTTATTTTGTTTACAGCACGGTAGTCTATACTTGTTTACCTTGCCTGATAAAGTATCTGTCAAAAAACGTAATCACATGGTGGTCAAGTTCAACTGATTAAAAATGCCATAAGATAGGGCTGTATACAAAAATAACGATTCATATTAATTCTAATGTAATTTTTTTGTACTTTTACTTTCCACTGGATTTATCCTATGATAATTATAATGACATATTCTTATAGTATTTTCTTGAATATTTTTATGTATAGAAATTATCAAATGAAAAATAATTTTCCTAATATGTTTCAAATTATCTATTTACAAATAAAAAATGTCGAATAAATAATCTGTAATATATTGTATTACTTATTCTTTTTGAATATGATGTTTAAATACTGCTACAAACAGTCTGGCAGTGCGTCGTATTACATTATAAATATGATAAATATTACATTAATAATACTTGATTCTATTAATTAGTGTCATAAGCTTAAGCCGGGCATAAGGCACCGCGTTTGTCAACCCTAATCATAAAACAGAACGCAGCACCACACCACACCGCCCCACACCGCCCGGCTTTGGCGATCATGAGCACAGTGCGTGCAGATCTAAAATAGAATTGTAATTTTTATATTTCGTGACGTATTATCAGGACAAACGAACTTTACACTATCAATACTAAGTTCGCATTAGATTTTATATTTCGAAAAGAATATTATTGTAGTGATAAAAACACTGTAATGTTTAAATCTTTGTTCGATTCTTTGATTACTCAAGCCAGCTGTCAAGAGGTGGGTAAGTTTTTGTTTAATAAGCACAAGTTATAACTTATAGCTTTCTGTTTTTAAAAGTAACGTTAAATAACCGTTGAAGTCCTTATCATGCAATCTTTTTTAGATTCCAACCGCCCTTGAAATGACTCCCCATGAATGTGTGTGTAACGTCGGTTACTTATGCGGTATTCTGATTACACGCAGCACAGCATATCAAATTCGTATTGCACTTGACACCTTGAAATGCCATACATTTTCGTTTTTGCAAGTATTAACATAGAATGGTGAACGTTTACATATTGTTAGATAATCAGGCAGCCTAACCTTTTTGACCTTTTGTATTTTGTGATTCAGACTTATATATTTAAAACAAAATAGTACAATATAAAACAAATAGTACAATATTAATAACTGTATACTCACCGAAAAATAACAAATGATAAAAAAAATATTTTTTTCTTGTATTGCCAGCCTGTAGGAATGGTTCTGGTGATATGGCCGTGTAAGATAGATACATGTAACTTTAGTACACAAGATAATATTCTTATCAGTTACGTCAACCACTACATTATTCTTCAATTTAGTTTTATTAGAGACTTCACAACAAAATGACTCCACATCGGGTAATTTGTTAAATTATAATTTTTTTAATTCAAGTTAAACTTGTTATAATCCAGTTCTGTATTTAAATGTTTGTGTGTGAGTAGTGTTAATATATGTTCATACAGTGTTTTTCAAATGTGATGAAGACTGACTTATAACTACATACAGGCAACTGCAATAGGTTTGAAACTAGGGGGATTTTTGACTTACATGTATTTTTTATAAAATTTTATAGTTATCTCTTATATTTCTATGAGTTTCTTTCATATTTTTAGTATCAGTGTGATTATCATGTGGACACCATCAAATATTTCATTCTACAACTGACCATAAATATTCAGGATAATTACCATGTCATCAACATATATGTTTATGTAACAATATTTTATGACACAAAAGTTAAACCTAAATATACTTAAAGTTAGTTTTGCTTCTTTCATTTTAATTAATTGAAAAAGGACTTCAGAAATTGACTCAATTAGAATATTACATTCTTGCCTTGTTTGCTCAAAATAATAATTTTTTATGATATCTGCAATATAACCTCATCCTGAGATTTTGCCATGCAAACATTATTTTAGTTTGCTTTACATTCTTAACCTGTTTTGATATATATTTATGGCTAAATTAATATCTCCCAATACATCTCAGGGCTTTGTTTCAATTTTTTGTAATAGACCAAATTTATCACTTTTAAGCGCTTTTATGATCAGACAATCACACTCATATAATGGCATCAACAGATTAGGGCGCATTAAAGAAATCTTTATATTGCTATGCCAGCTTATCTTTAATGATATAAAGGTATAGGAATAAAGAATATACCTAGCATATAGCAATAGCTTGCATAGTAATAGTTAAAGGTATTGTGACATGATCAACTCCTGTCATATTTTGTACTTTTTTATGACATTTACTTGTAGTGGATACCTTTCCTATACCTCCCTACCACTGGAGGTAAAAAGATTTTAGGAGTAGTAGAAGATTATTGGTATACAGTCAAAATTGTCAGAAATATAACACAATGTTAAGGACTGGTTGAACATCATGTTTACATTATGTTTTCTGTTTTCCATAGAGGTCAAGGCATATCTTGCACTACCCTTTGTAACTTATGGCAAATCACTCTCAATAGCCATTATAAATTATATGGCTTCTAATGTAATCCTATTATTCTTAGTGTACTCCTGAATTTCTTTGAATGGTTTGTTGGTATCAATACACCTATGTCATGTTAAAATTCACCAGAATACTATATTTTTAGCATTATAAAGATTATCTTTCTGTCTTAGTAGTATTTATAGTATCCGTCTTTAGTTGATATGATGGCAAACTCATAGTTTAAAAGTATAGTAGAATTAAAACATTTTAACCGTATATAAATAGCATTTGTTGGCTTCAATTACATTGAACAGTACATTGCTTATGTTCAGTTTTAAAAGGTAACATGTTTTGTTATTCATAAAGATGTTTTTCTAGATGGAAATAGCTTATCTAGCAATTAAATCCAGAAAGTCAGGAATGTTTTCGCTTATTTATTCCATTACAACAATAATTATTACTATTTATACCTTTCGATTCAGACCAATATAAAATATATGAAATAGTAATTATTAGAATTAACATTTTACTAGTTGGTTAAAACTAAAAAATTTCATATTTCCGACATATGGAATATGATTGTCCACTCTTTAATGTAAAATGCATCAACTACAATGACTGTTTCATGGAATAACTAATAATTCTAAAAATGGTTCATTTCACATTGTCTTAATGACATTTAGGTATTTCTGTGTCAATTACTTTTCATTTTTTCCATTGTAAATTCTGGACAATTATCATTTGGGGATGTTTAAGTAGAGAGCATATTATTTATTAAATGTATATATTACTCTTGTCATTTGTCAGGTGTTTCAAATTTACATGTGCAGTGATCACTCACTGACACATGAGCTGCTATCTCATTTATACTCTTTTCAAAGGTATAAAAAAAAATATAGATAAGAGTCAAAAGTTATTGTCATGTTTAAATCTAACAAATAATATTTCTATGACCTTTGAAATTTCCATAATTGATAGTTATATAGTTTAAGTGCTGTAATGGAAGGTAGAATGAAGAATTATTACATATTAGACAGTCTTATTTTATGATATAATTTGTCATGATTGGCATGATTGATAACATGCATAATTATCAGGAAGACCTTGTCAGTGTTTACTGAATCAATGGCATATCTTAAAAAAATTCAGGATGTGTATAACATTTTTAGACCATTCAATGTTTCTTTTTCATCTTTCCTACTGTTGGAAGTTCGTGGTGCTGTCCACATATAATTGTCTATGATGCATTGCATTTGAATTTGGATTATATTCTTTTACTTTTGATGTGATCTTTTTGTGATGTGTTTTTTTTTTTTTTAATTAATTGCTATAGTCGCTCGTCCAGCCTATCACCTACCTAGTCTCATTGCAAAAATCTAAGTTCTAATCTTCTATACTTAGACAGACATTCTTTTCATGGAAAATCTTTTCTTTTTTTGCCATAAATTATGTTAATTTTCCTAACTTAATTGTTATTTTGTTGACAATCTTGATATGATCAAGTTAGGTAATATTGTCACATGGTATTGCATAATCATTTAAGACCGAGCTTGAAGAGTGAAGTGATCATTTAATTAACACATATGTAGACTCTTCCATGTAACTGTAATTTGAAAAATGATATAATATTTTAAACATTTTATTTGTTCTGAAAGTATTTTTTTAAAGACACATTCTGAATGTGGATGATTTGTCATTGCTGATGTTGCAATAGTAGAGTATATCAAAATTATGTATTTTTAATCTACAATATTCCTTTAACTCTTATCAATCTTTATCTCATTGTTATGTCACTCCTTGTAACTAATTAAATTGTTACGACACATTGACTATTGAATAATGTATATTCATACATATTATCTATTGCATATGTATGGAGACATGTGAACAGAAAACTGTAATTGAATTTATACAGTTTCTATAATCTACTTACAATATGTATTGTTTTTAAACTTTAAAAAGATAATCACTCCATAAGCAATAACTTTCAAAACCTAAAACATTTTCACAATCATATTTCAATGGGTTTCTTTAGTTCAAAACGCTACAGGTGAGAACTTTTTATCTGGAAACAAATGACTCCTAACTCTACAAAGTGTAAAAAACACAAAGTCGTTGGCAATTTGAAATGCTTTGAAGCGCATTTGAAAGGCTCTTCTTTAGCCTACCATGCCATAACAATAACAGCATACATATTATATTAAGAATTTTGATATAACATTCTCATCGATTATAAAATGTCAGCGCAATGTGAAGATATTGAAAAAATAACACCCTATTACATTGCTTTAAATCGGCCATTTTGTTTTGTATCAGCAGTTGGTAACAACCAAAATATATCACAAACGAAAACATATTGTTTACAATGTATAAACATAAACAGATCAACGGCAACAACATAATTTGGCACTTCATCACACTACATTCCAACGCCCACTCAAACAAGACATGTTGGTCCCAATGACTAATTTAAATATGTATATATAGTTTATATACATTCGTCACAAAAATACAATATGTCCCATACTTAAAACGACAAACTTAAAAGTAAGGTCAAATTTTTTGTCAGGCAAACCCAAGATGGGTTGAAGTGTCACCATACAATCTTATAAAAACTGTCACCATTTTCGTGATGTTTTTTTTTTTTTTCTTATTTTGTTTTAATAAAACATTGCCCTTACTTTAGAATAACATTATCCTGTGTTGTAAGGACGTTTTTCAAACATAAATTTCACGCGGAATAACACCCAGATACGAAACAACTATCTGTGGGTCACACAAATAGTTGTCGCGTGTGCGAATCGAACCCACGACCCCCGACGCCGAAGCCAATACCTTGGCAACTGCGCCACGGAGTCATCATTTTTTCCATAAGAATCGCATGAGTTCTGCTGAAAACTTGAATGCCGGCTGTCTGGTTTAACTAACCTAACGTTTTGGAATTGTTGACTGTGATCTATTAAGTTTTGGTAATCTCTTGGACTTCGTATAGCTTACTGAATTAGTTTTCGTGAACTTGAGAGGTGGTAATCACATAAACGTTGTAAGAGTATGCAGATACCTTATTTACTTTATGCTGAGCGATATTCTAATTGCCGTTATTTCAACAGCGATTTCCGATGGCCATGTATCTAGAAAAATATCATTATCTCGAAAATGGTGACAGTTTTTTTTTGTGATTTGTTATGTTTTTAGGTCAGACTTTGTTTTTTTTTGTTCCACATAATCGGTGTACCGTTTTACATCGTTGGCCTATTCGTAAAGGCGCGCTCTTGCTAAGATTATGCTCCGGTGGAAACCGAGTTAAGAAGAAAATTTTATGTCTGTGACCTATTTAGAATCGCTTACTCTTAACTTTCATCGTTCAGCAATGCACAGAATTCTTTTAAGTCATATTACGTTAAAGACGTTAATTTACAACATGGGACACATCCATTATATAATTACGTATTTGGAGTTTTTGCTTATTGCTTTTGATCTTGGTTTGTTTCGTATCACAAACCATCAGAACCAAAGCACATATCTCCAAATGTATACTATATTCATTTGGTCTTATATAATAAAATTATCGTGACTGTTTTCTGCCTCTATGCCTTTCTATTTTGAACGTTATTTTTTTTTAAATCTTACATTCAGTCACTCGCTTACCTTTTTCCATAAGTTCAGGTTCAAAATTTAGTTATTAACACTGAATTAATATTAAAAACAAACATACGTAAAACCCAACACTATGCAGACATTTTAATAACATCTATAAGTAATGAAAATCTATAGATAATACTAGTCTTCTAAATGAGCGAATTGGGATGATGATTTGTGACTTGTTGCAGGGGGCTGGTTATTTAAAACGAGCGGACACCGAACGGCTACATGACATCTTCCTGAAATACGCCACCGTCGAGAAGAACGGTGAAAAATACATCACCAGCGAGGATTTCGTTCGAAAGTTTCTCGGCCTATTCGACGAAGGTATGTTTTTTTTTTTATGGGAAAAAAGCAGCAAACGAGCAGGAGGCTCACCTGATGGTAAGTGATCACCGCCGCCCATGGACATCTGCAACACCCGAGGGCTTACAAATGCGTTGCCGGCCTTTTAGGAATGAGTACGCTCTCTTCTTGAAGGTTCCCAGGTCGTAACGGTTCGGAAAGACCGCCGGCGGCAGCTGGTTCCACAGAGTGATTGTGCGAGGCAGGAAATGCCTTGAAAATCGCGCTGTTGTGGAACGCTATGTGTATTATGTATTATTCATAAAATAAAACCTTTTGGAGATTTTTATTATTTTTCATTATTATCTATGGTGATGCACGTTACGTAAACTGTTATCAGAGATACTGGTCGCTATCCAAGCATTCAGTAATAAGAAAAGGTTAATTTTAGTTTTGAGAGCAAAACAAAAATTAACCTTTCTTGTCAATCCGTATTTTAGCTATTTTGTTTGCTTTTATCGCCAATTAGTAGTTCATCATCATCATCATCATTTCCTGCCTGTTTGAGTCCACTGCTGAACATAGGCCTCCCCCACAGACTGCCATGAAGTACGATCCTGAGCCACCTGCATCCATCGACTTCCCGCACATTTGCACAGGTCGTCACTCCATCTAGTGGGGGGTCGTCCCACACTGCGATGGCCAGTACGAGGCTGCCACTCGAGAACCTTTCTTGCCCAACGGTTATCGGTTCTACTACGAGCTATATGGCCGGCCCATCGCCACTTCAGCTTGCTAATCCTCTGAGCAATGTCGGTTATCTTGGTTCTACTGCGGATGTCTTCGTTACGAACTCTATCACGCAGAGAAATACCGAGCATAGCCCGCTCCATAGCTCGCTGAGCGACTTTGAGCTTCCTCATACGGCCAGCAGTGAAGGACCATGTCTCGGTTCCGTAGGTCATCACTGGCAACACACATTGATTGAAGACTTTAGTCTTCAAACATTGAGGTATATTCGACGAGAAGATTTGCCGAAGTTTCCCGAACGCTGCCCATCCGAGTTGGATTCGCCGATTGACCTCTGCGTCGAAGTTGGACTTACCTAGCCGGACTAACTGTCCTAGGTAAACGTACTCGTCAACAACTTCGAGCTCAGTGCTCCCAACAACAACCGGTATATGTGCGACATGGACATTAGACATGATCTTCGTCTTGTCCATGTTCATCTTAAGGCCCACCCGTTGGGAGACACTGTTGAGGTCATTGAGCATAGCACCCAGGTCCTCCAGCGATTCTGCCATGATGACTATATCGTCGGCAAATGGAAGGTGGGTGATGTATTCGCCATTGATGTTAATACCTCGTCCTTTCCAGTCCAGAAGCTTAAAAACATCTTCCAACGCAGCGGTGAAGAGTTTCGGGGATATGACATCACCCTGTCTTACACTTGGATTTCTGCAGTTGGATAGGTTTTGTACTACTGGACTGTACTTTGACGGACACCGTATCCTTGTTATACAAACACTGCAGCACTTCGATATACCGACAGTCAATTTGGCAACGCTGAAGAGTCTGGAGTACCGCCCAAATTTCGACGGAATCGAATGCTTTCCCATAGTCCACATACGCTAGGCACAAAGGCAGATTATACTCTTCGGTCTTCTGTATAATCTGCCGCAAGGTGTGTATGTGGTCTATGGTACTGAAGCCTTTTCGGAATCCGGCTTGTTCGGGAGGCTGGAAGTCGTCGAGACTGGAAGCGAAACGACTAATTAGTAGTTACTTATGGCAAAACAATGTAATATGTTGAATTGCGGCAACTTGAATTTTTACTGTAATGCGAGAGACGTATTTGTTACAGCTAACTCTAAGTGCCTTATATTTATTTTACACATTGCGTAATCCGCGACTTCCTCATACGTTGATATATGAATTAAATAAAAACTTGGAGCGTTTTGATGAACTTATCTATTTCAATATCGCCTCTACTTCATGCGTCATCTCAAGTTTAATTATTAAATAAAAAATAAACAATAAACATTACTTGCCAAATGTGAATATATACTTTTCATAGGAAAAGAAAAGAAACGATCGATAAACTTAATACATAAACGATATAAGTTTTACGTAAATATGAAAGGCAGTAGTTTTTTGCCTTCTTTTTATAAAGTGCACGGCTACCTCACCCACCACAACGAAACGAAGAAGTATCAGCGCTTTCACTTCATGACGGTCTTTCGTTAGGCTGTGGTACCTCTGCGGACGAGCCTGCCCATTCGTACAACAACAAAGAATATACCTACATATAATTTTTCCGAATTTAATACTCTTAAATTATTACCTGTTAGTCCATTTTAGTACGTGCAAAACATGCATTACAGTAATAAGTATACATATATTAATAATCGTTTAGAATTTTCTTGAGCATATTTAGTATGATTATTGTGAATACAAATATAAGCTCTCATATTACATACTCCAAGAACGCAATAGCTGTCACGAATTCTGCTCCGCTCTTTGTATAGAATCACGGACTTACACTTCGGGGACGACTGTAATTTATCATACAGACGACCCACGAACTGTTCTACTTAACGAGTCGACCTCGGAAACTTTTCCAGTTTCGTGGCTGAACGGACTGCCCTAATAATGAGCCGACTCACGAACTTGCCCACTTGCGGGGCCGAACGAACTGCTCCACTAAACGAGCCGACTCACGAACTAACCCGCTAACGGGGCCGGCCCGCGAACTATTCCAGATGACTACAACAAGGAGTCGGTGCGGCTCATCGCCGGCATCGTGGACATGGACAAGGACGGGTACATCTCGTTCCCGGAGTTCCAGGCGTTCGAGGGGCTGCTCTGCGTGCCGGACGCGCTGTACAAGACCGCCTTCCAGCTGTTCGACACCAACGGCAACGGGCTCGTCGCCTTCGGTGAGAATCACTAACTAGTTAATAACGGCTTTCTTTTAATCTTTTTTTAGGTGCTGTGCCTAAGATGGCTCCGCGGCTTCGGTTTCAGGGGTCGTGGGTTCGATACCCACGCGGGACGGCTATTTATGCGATAAACAGACAGTTGTTTCGGATCTCGGTGTTTGTGCGCGTGATATTTATGTATGCAAAACGTCCTTGCAACACTGGATAATGTTGTATGTCCTACAGAAGTGGACCTGGGTTTTTATTTTTAAAAAAAGAAAGAAAAAAGTAAGATCGTCTCGTGATATTAACTTTAAGAACGACCCGGTAGTCGCCCGAAGTTATTCGACCACGCACGCATATTATAGATATGTTAGATATATGTTTTGTTATTAATTAGTTATATTTAGTTTTGTTTTTAAACATACACAGAGCCGTTTTGGTTGTGTAAAGAGCACATAATTCTACGACTTTTAGTTAGCAAAAAAAAATACGGCATAAAAAGAACAGCTGAAAGTGCCTAGACTTTAAAACATGTAGAAAAAGTACGAAAAGATTTTCGCCGCTGTGGGAATCGAACCCACGTCTTCGGCATTCTCGGCCTGACGCTCTAGCCACTGAGCTAAACCGCTGATAGCCACAGCGACGAAAATCTTAACGCCTTCCTTCTACATTGTTATTTAGCATTTGAAGCAATGCTTGGCGCATCAATTGTTATATCCTTTCCAGCATACAAACAATTTCGAATATCGTTTTACAACGATAATTCGAACGAGAGATGTCGCCATTGCTTTTTATAAAATTTTAAAGTTTTTTAAAGTGCTAATCCCTGCACTTAAGATTGAACATTAAAACATGTAGAAAAAGTACGAAAAGATTGTCGCTGCTGTGGGAATCAAACCCACATCTTCGGCATTCTCGGCCTGACGCTCTAGCCACTGAGCTAAACGGCTGATAGCCACAGCGACAGCGACGTGCCTAGACTTCTTTAGGAAATATACGATAAAAATTTATGGACTTTTTTGCTAACAGTGTAAAGCATGATTGTTTTTCAAAATCTCTTCGTTGTGTTTGAAACAAACCAATACTTTGATTATAAAATCCAATACAGCTAAGAAAAATCGTATACAGCGTGTCGTTACCATCGCGACAATAAATGAACACACATATATGGGATAACTTTTTAAAGTTGTATTAAACATTTAAATTCTTTAAACATCAATATTTACAGAGTTATTAAATTTTCCAAAACAAAGAATTTTAGAACACCCTTACCTATAAAAGCGTAACGCAAAGTTCATTTGTAAAGGTCACAAAGCATATGAATGGGTTGAATGAATTTAAAAGAGACAAAACATACTGTTAGAAGGAGAGGCTTGTAACTCGACGCTGTGGCGCGAATTGCATAGGATGTTACAATTTTTTTTTCTTTTTTACTTAATTAGTTTGTTTGAAAAATATTGTTTTTTAATTATGGATGTTGTTTAACGTTAATATTTTTTTATGATTGTTGGCAAGTAGCGTTAGACGTGTGTTCATTTATTGTTGCGATGGTAACGACACGCTGTATAAAAGCGTGCAAAATCGTTTGCTAAGTTGTGTCACATCCTCCTAAGTAGTTGTAACACGCAGTCGCTTATGGGCTGAGATCCAAATTGTTCTATGTTTGTGTTCCAAATTGTGTTCATGCAAATTGGCGGTATAGGCGTTAACTTTTTTTCTGTCCAACATACAGTTGACCAGTTCTAAATTTATCTTCTGTTCTGCCTCAACGTGCATCAAATTCATTGTGTATTGGTCGCGTTTAATCTATGCATATCATGTAATTTGCATCCGAACACTCAAAATTGAAAAAAAAAAATAGAAAGACATTAAGTAGCATTGTCGACTATTTCGAATGCAAATGGATATCGAGATAAATCGATCCTAAAACACTGGAGATGCGGTTTCCATTTGAATAAATTAACATATCAGATATGATAATGAGAGAGGTATTTGAACGGCTCGATTTGAATAAACACCCATCAATTGATACAATCTATCTTTCTGTCGACTCAGCTGTCAGAGAAAAAGTCCTCATTAAACTATTAGTTGAATTGAATCAATTCTTACGTTATAAAATGTAATAATTTAATTCAGTAGAACTATTTAATGTATAAAATATTTAATGTATGTATGTATGAATTCGATGACGCCGTGGCGCAGTTGCCAAGGTATTGGCTTCAGCGTCGGGGGTCGTGGGTTCGATTCCCACACGGGACAACCATTCGCATCTGGGTGTTTGTCCGCGTGTATTTAATTTATCTTTGTAAAACGTCCCTACAACACAGGATAATGTTATCCTAAAGTAAGAGCAATGTTTAAAAAAATAGAAATATTTCTTGTGGTAGCTGGGGCCCAGTTTGTTTAAAGGTGGCAACGCATTTGCAACCATACGGGTGTTGCAAATGTCCATGGGCGGCGGTTATTACTTAACATCAGGTGAACCGCCAGCTCGTTTGCCACTTCGATATAAAAAAAAATATATTAAGTATTTCCGTGCCGTGATAGCTCAGTATGAGCCGTGATGGCTCAGTGTCCTGGCGGCTCGCCTTTAATTCAGTATATTCGAGCAACCTGAGTTCGATCCCTGGTTGAAAGCACCAATGAAATTGTTAATTTTAAGTGCTGGGTAAAGGATAACATCGTGAGGAAACATGCATGATTTCGAAAAAATAACAAAAAGAATATTTCGAATATATGTGAAGTCCGCCAATCCGCAGTGGGGCCGCGTGGTAGACTTTGCCCTGATACCCTCTGTAAAGAGGAGGCCTTTGCCCAGCAGTGGGCATGTATTGGCTGATACTTTACTTTTTAAATATTTATCGCCTAATTGTTATACCTAAGCCTTGGGCCAGAACTGAACCGGTTTTATTGCTGTCAATCGCATAATTATAACGAGCATGCAATTATTTTAAAAAAAGCAATTTCAAAAACCGAATCCAAGATAAGCCATCATTAACATGTATTTGCAATTTTGTTCTTATGTTGCCTCGCCAACTGGTGAAGGTTAGCTATCATTTGCAGCTTGATAAAGTCTTCCCACCAAATTTCTTAGTTCGTTAAGAAGAATGCCATGAGGAGTCATAGATTCCACCAAATTAACATGGGACCTTTGAGATAACTGTATTTGCACAAATAATCCACAAAGGGACGTTTTGACGACATCGTAGAGCGTACGTACATAACGAAATTACACACAAAAACCAATCGAATCGAGAACCTTTTTACCAAAAAGTTCTCCTTGGATACCATGATAACACCATGAAATCGGTGTCGCTTCTATGTGTCCCGTAAAAATTCGTGCTCTGAATCAATAAAATAAAAATCATTTTTCTCAAACGCCCTATAAGTCCGACGAGTCCGGTGGCGCAGGGGCCAAGGCATTGGTTTCGGCCGTGGGTCGTCAGTTTGTCCACTCGAAATTTGAGTGTTTGAAGCGTCCCTACAACGCAGGACGGTGAAAACATTAAGGGCAATGTGTTTAAAAGAGAAAAAATCAGCAGTGAAACGCAGAGGGGGTGGCTCCGTACGGATTTCTCGTATTGCAGACGAGTTCGCCGAGGTGATGCGCAAAACGGCGCTCCACCAGAAGCTGCCGTTCAACATGGAGAGCACGTTCGTGCGGCTCTACTTCGGCAAGGACAAGAGGCGGCTGGTGACGTACGCGGAGTTCAGCCAGTTCCTGCACGACTTCCACGAGGAGTACGGCGTGGAGGCGTTCAAGAGGTGCGACAAGGACGGCACCGGCTTCATCAGCGCCGGCGACTTCAAGGACATAATGCTCAGCGTCAAGAGCCACCTGCTCACCAAGGATCTGAGGACGAAAGTCATTAACGTAAGTGGATCGGTCGTTGATGTAAGTCGTGGACGGGTTCGACGCTGGCACTGAGTGCGTGCGTGCGTGCGTGCGTGAGTGCGCGCGTGCGTGCGTGCGTGCGTGTGTGTGTGTGTGTGTGTGTGTGTGTGTGTGTGTGTGTGTGTGTGCGCGTGTGTGTGTGGTTGCGTAGTTAATAGTTTTCAGTCGTGGATGGGTTTGATGTTCGCGCTATGTGTATGTGTGTGTATGCTTCTGTAGTTAATAGATTTAAGTCGTGGACGCGTTTGAAGCTCGCGTTGTGTGTATGTATTTGCTTGTGTCGTCGTTGATGTAAGTCGGGGACGGGTTTGACGCTCGCTGTGTGTGTGTGTATGGTTGTGTAGTAAATAGTTTTAAGTCGTGGATGGGTTTGATGCTCGCGCTGTGTGTATGTGTGTGTATGCTTGTTTTGTTAATAGATTTAAGTGGTGGACGCGTTTGAAGCTCGCGTTGTGTGTATGTGTATGCTTGTGTAGTCGCTTATGTAAGTCGGGGACGGGTTTGACGATCGCGCTGTGTGAGTGTGTGTGTGTGTGTGTGTGTGTGTGTATGCTTGTGTAGTTAATAGTTTTAAGTCGTGGACGCGCTTGAAGCTCGCGTTGTGTGCAAGTGTGTGCTTATGTAGTCGTTGATGTAAGTCGGGGACGGGTTTGACGATCGCGCTGTGTGAGTGTGTGTGTGTATGCTTGTGTAGTTAATAGATTTAAGTGGTGGACGCGTTTGAAACTCGCGTTGTGTGCAAGTGTGTGCTTATGTAGTCGTTGATGTAAGTCGGGGACGGGTGTGACGATCGCGCTGTGTGAGTGTGTGTGTGTATGCTTGTGTAGTTAATAGATTTAAGTGGTGGACGCGTTTGAAGCTCGCGTTGTGTGCATGTGTTTGCTTGTGTAGTCGTTGATGTGAGTCGGGGACGGGTTTGACGATCGCGCTGTGTGAGTGTGTGTGTGTGTGTGTGCGTTGCGTGTGTGGGTGTCAAGCTCACCACTCCTCTCGTTAGCGATCGTCATTTACCATTCGAAAGCGAACCGCCTTAAATCTATAGTCGGTTTAAATGCTGTTTAAAATATAGAGACAAGAATTTACCTACTCATTGAAATTGTTATCTGGACCGTAAATCCTAGTAAGTTTTTCCGCTTAGAATACTAATGAATACCTGTTTTAATTGTGTTACATATTAAGCTGAGATAGATAGACGTATATATATATATTTCAGGACATGTTTTTCACAGCGTCATCTAGTCCGAATAACAGCAAAGCTTGTAGTAATATGTGTACTAGATAACTGATAAACATACTTTTGCAAATGTAAACATATTATAGATATATGAACACGTAAACAATAGAAAAGCACCATTTCATGACGATAAGTTTCCAATCCGTTGTTTCTACAATATGTTTCCAAAATAGATGGAGTCGAACCCACACCCTCTGTTAGCGTTGCTAATCGGTTACTTAAACTTGTATGAAAAAATATTCGCAATGGAAATTTCATAAAAAATTATCTCATATCATGAAATCGATTAATTAAAGCTTAAGAACTGGATTACTTTTAATTTTTGTATAAATTGTTATCAATACTTTTAATTCACCGTTACGTAATCGTCGGTTGCGTATCGAAAATACTATAACTTCGATAACATTACATTGTAGTACTGATATGCGTATCGATACGATATCTTGTCTCCATTTCCTCTCTGCATTGCGTTTTTCGTATTTCTCTCTCTCTGTTACCATTTACGATGTGCTCGACCAAACCATCAATTCAATTATAAACAAAACTAGCAATGTTTAACAGACAACGCAGTTCAAATCTCAAGCGAAATGTTATTATATTAACGTCCGCTTTCTGAAACAATGATCATCGCAGAAATTAACTAATCACCTGTCAAATGACTTTTCAAATTTCATTTGAGTTGCCAAAACAATGTAAAGATACGTTCTTTCCATAATTATCCATAGCCTTCTATCCATATCGCCCGTGGTGTTGCTTCTTTTCCAACCTTAAAGGTTATTCCCCGCCTATCTCACCGGACAAAACACGTCTCGAAAACGTTTGAATAAATTTACACGTCACACACGATACTGAGAAGTGCATTTGATACAACCGTAATAAACAATAATTACTTTTTATACAAAAAAAGAGAACTAAAGGTTTTACTCAGTGGCCAACTTCATCATGTCGCTTTTTGTCTGTCGCGCTAAATTAAGTGTAACTAAGTGTAAGACTACTGGTAACTTAGTGTAAGAGACTACTTAGTAACTAAGTTTAAGACAACTAGTTGATAACTTAGTGTAACTAAGTGTAAGTTCCATTTCCCGCAGGCGTCCGGCTTCCCCCAGGGCGAGAGGAAGATAAGCTTCCCGTACTTCATGGCGTTCACCTCGCTTCTGAACAACATGGAGCTGATAAAGAGGGTGTACCTGAACGCGTCTGGCGGCCAGAGGACATTGGAGGTGACCAAGGAGGAGTTCCTCCACTCGGCGCAGATGATGAGCCAGGTCACGCCGCTCGAGGTGGACATACTCTTCGCGCTCTGCGACCACATACACCAGACCAACGGGTCAGTACAACCGATGTCTTTATTCATTGTTAGCGCCACGAAACAGTTAGCTGTTTGCGGTGTATCTTTATTAAAATTTTATTTACAAAATGTGATGACAACGTGGCGCACTTGCCGAGGTATTGCCTTCGACGTCGGGGCTCGTGGGTTCGATTCCCACACGGGGCGACCTATTTCTATGACCCACAGATATCTGTTTCGGACATGGGCGTTTGTCCACATGACATTTATGTTTGTTGAACGTCCATACAACACAAGGGCAATGTTTTTAAAAAAATAGAGCCAGTGTTTCTCAAACATTTTTTGGTGTACGGGAACTTTAGGGAAAATTTAATACCCAACGCCCCCTGAATGCTGTAAATTAAAAATTTTTTGGCAAATATATGTGTCGACCACCGATTTTAATTACCGCCCCCAATATTATTTAAAGTTTCAATCACCCCCTCAGATAGCCTCAGCGCCCAACAGGCTAGGTAACGCCCTCTTTGAGAGCCACTGAAATAGACGCTTGCGCGTTCTTATTAAACGTCGAATTTTACATATAAATTGATACATACATTAGGTAACCGGGGCCCACTTTATTAAAAGTTGTTGTAAACGTCAACGAGCGGCGGTTTTGACATCAGGTGAACCGCCAGCCATCTACTCTCATAAAAAACTCAATATATAAGCGTTATACTTATCGATTGCCAAAATACTATCTAGGTAGTATTCTTGTATCTTGTATGAACTGATGTTTGCGCTTTCACTCCCGAGATTATTAAAGCCTCATCGAAAGCAGAACCGCTTGGCTACCCAGAGCCCACGGGTTTGGGGTCTAATAGATTCTTTCTTCTTTCATAATTAAAATTTTATTGTTCTGGCATCTTTTGCTGCACCTACCATACTCTCAGCACATCCTGGGTTGACTGGTAGAGAATGCCCTAGGGCATTAAGTCCGCCCTTTGTTACCTTGTTTTACTGAAGGTTGGCAATAAAGATTGAATAAAATAATAATTGATAAAGTACTTTCACGTTTCGTCTGGTCAGTGAGGTAATCGGGGCAAACTCTTTTGACGGTCAGACGTTCGACAATCCAACTGCAATAAGAATTCTGCTATGAAATACATTAATATTTACGAAAGCCAGAGCCTATATAATAACTCTATGTAATAAACATCACAATATAGTTTGTTTACGTGAGGTAAACATATGATAAAACGCCCGGGACCGTGACCTATTTAGGGGTGCCTACTGTTTTTGAGAAAAATAAAATATCACATTTTTCAAGTAGAGAAAAAATAAAGTGTAAAGAAGAAGAAAAAAAGTATCTTTCAAAATTGTATTTATTGTGTACTGTACAACACACTTTTTCATTATACTTAAATTTTTAGAAGCTATTTTTAAATTTAAATAAAGAAAATGATTAAATATCCATAAATAAAATAAATAATAAAATAAAACACAATGTATGTATCTTAATAATAGAGTATTTGAACATAATTTTATGTAAAAGTATAATTATATTTACCAAAAATAAAAGAGAATACGTTATTATAAAATATGGTTGGCAACCCTAGATCTAATGCGGAGTACGACAGACAGTTTCTAAGTTGGCAACAAATAAAATTATCTTACAAAGTTCTTGAAATAGAAGGTTATTTAGAGTTCGTATGTCGGATATAAGATATTAAAAACTCGACAAAAACTTATTTTGTTTGTTTTTTTAAAGGACATTAATTTTTATAGTGTTTATCTTTATCACGACGTATTTTGTCTACTTTGTTTTTTATTACATTTTAGAGCAACACAGCGGTTATTAGAAAAAGTATTAATTAATATTTAATCCAAAGGTCAAATTCAAATACGTCAATTAATTTTAGTAAATTATTTCAGCATATATCGCAATATTTCATGTAGTCGCTAAGACATTTCGATGTGAATAAAATTGCTTAATTTGCAATAGATTAAACTGAATTGCTATATTCGCGAAATTCATTCTTTAACTATACTTGTCACAATAAGTATTAATATTACTTAACACTTAATTGGTGTGTTAATGTTCTATAAATCTAAGATGTCGCTTAAAAAAATTTTTCACGCAATAGTCCCGATTAAAGTTATTTATGGCGTTATGAAAACACGAATATTATTTCCACTTGTTTTCACTGATGTATCTGTTCCAAGTATGAACCGTTTTAAACATATATGACAAACATTCACTACCAACTCTTCAAACAGAGTCGGAGACAACCAAACTCGTCTAAATTTCTTTAGGGTTATCAGAGCTGGCATTTCCCTCAGACAGATGGTACGTGAGACTTATCTTGATAACTTATCATTAGCCACAAACGAGTTACGTCTTTGTAGTATTTTTCCGAAGTTACTATCACGTAGCGAACGTTTGGTCTAAAGCTTACGCGATACCGATGATAAAGATTATAACGCGTTAATAATAACCTTTAGAGAATTACGCACAGCTCTGATAATTTACGTTACGAGTTGCGACATCAACGCTCGAAAACGATTATTTTTAGTAAAATAACGCGATATCTTCTCGAACGACTCTAGATTTTTTTTGTTCATGTTTTTCTATAATTACATTTAAAAATTATGGATTGATATATTTTCTTTGTCATTTCGACCGCCTGCCAAATAGTTTTATCGTAGCCAGATTGTCCCTCGCTGTGTGGTAATATAGACGTGTTTGTCATACAAAACACGAATACCCATATAAACTACAGTAATTTAATATATTTTTCTTTACAAATGAATATCGTTAAATGTTATTTGTAACGTGTTCATACTGTAAAGTATGCACCTTACATACACTATCGCCAATTGGAGCACAAGTTAAAATCCTGCAACGTCAAGTGTTTGTCCATTTATTAATGTTATGTTGGCAATACTGGTGAAATATTGTTAATTATCATTTTATTACACTACACAGTGAAGGCGATATAAGATGGAGATGGAGCCGCAATGAGTGTAGTATTTAGTTTTGAATATTTTCGATTTAGCTTTAAGGATTTTGAGATTGGTTTTCTTCTAACACAAATTTCCCCGCAACATTTAATACCACTTGCGGGAACCATTTTTGTGCGGTGATTTTTTTTTTCTTTTCGATGCTACCGAAATAATAGCTCTTGGGGTTCTTTTCTCGAGGTCAAATGAAACAGACCTTATTCCACTGCATTTATTCGCAAATTCTATATCTATGCAGATCATTTAAATCGGAGTGTCTGTTTGTAATATTAAAATAACCATTTTTTACTAAATGTATACGGATGTATACACGATACATGTACTAAAATAAAATCTTTTACAATTTTTGTCTGTCTGTCTGTTTGTTCCCGCTAAACTCTGAAACGGCTGGACGATGTCGACGGGGTCTCCACTGGTAGATAGCTGATGTAATAAGGAGTAACTCGGGCTACTTTTCTTAACAAAACTTAAAATTGTATATATTTAAAATTCCACGCGGACGAAGTCGCGGGCGCAGCTAGTTATAAATAAAGTAAAAAGTAAAGTAACAGCCTATATATGTCCCACTGCTGGGCAAAGGCCTCCTCTATACAGAGGGTATCAGGGCATAGTCCACCACGCGGCCCCACTGCGGATTGGCGGACTTCACATATTTTCGAAATACATTTTTTTTTTGTTATTATTTCGAAAATATGCAGGTTTCCTCACGATGTTTTCCTTCACCGCGGAGCACGTGATAAGTCAGCACTTAAAGTTAAAAACTTCATTGGTGCCGGCACCGGGGATCGAACTCAGGTTGCTCGAGTATATTGAATTAAAGGCGAGCGCCCGGACACTGAGCTATCACGGCTATAGTTATAAATAAGCAAAATATTAAATTTAAAATGTTTCTATAAACGCATATAACAACGCTTTACTAAACAAACCACTTTTTTTTTAATATCGACGTATTATTTAAACCAACAAAATTACGACTAATCATAACTTTCTATTCTCTAGATGCTAAACTAATGATGCAAGAATAAATTAAAAACGTATTAATCTCATCATGAGATGGGATTTTAGTAGCTCTATTAGTCTAAAAAAGCTCGTTTAAAATTAAAATTTCAAGACGTTATAAAGTTAAAATTAATTAGAAAGTTATAAGTTATGTTATAATTACACAAAACGACGGTAGACATTAATCGAGAAATTATTTTAAAAATCAATTCATATTTGAAGAGTTACAAAAATTATTTCAAAATCACAAAGCTTTTTAAATTCATCTTGACTGCTCTGTCATAACATTTGATGTAAGAATTATGTTTGCCAATGTAAATTAGTTGTTTTACCTTCTCTTTAACGTTTACTACTGTCAAAAGATGGCGCTTGAGTCGTAATTGAATTCAATAGTGTTGTTTTATTTGCTTAATTAACTTTACGCCCGTTTTCTGAAACACTGATCATCGTATAAATTAACTAATCACCTGTCAAATGTTATTTGAGCTGTTAAACAGATGGTTAAACACCTGATCATTCTGATCAACTTTTACTTATTACTTTAGCCTTTTGGCTAATCAAATGAGACTTGAGAAGCCATTTGACAGCTGATTAGTTGATTTCTACGATGATCAGTGTTTCAGAAACCGGGCGCTAATCTTCTGAATACGAAGCAGAAGGGTATTTTTGTTTAAATTTTTTCATTAATCCTAATATTTTCTTCTTTGCAGTCGCATCGTCTACAACGACCTGAACTCGATTACGCCTGAGCAGTACTTCAAGCAGGTCACACGTAGAGTGGCCGAAATCAAGGCGGTCTCGGTAAGCACCTCTCTTTCGCCCGCACGAAAACCCCAACAGCCCGTCTCACTCTAACACAGTATCTGTATCGCAAAAATTCTTACAGGAACCGGAGCTCGCGATGCGATCTTTCTTGAAATGTATGTTTAGTAAATTAGACTCTATGTCGTTAGTTATAAGAGTTTTTTTTTTACGGAAACATCACTAACTCAAAGCTCTGTATTTTTTTTCTCTTTCTTTCAATGCACAAAAGGAGGAGGTAAATATGTTAAGAGAGCCTTTCCGATTAATAGACTTTGTCGGGGGCCTTTTGGTGAGTACAAAGGTTGAAGGTTATGATGTTTCTATGTTTTCCATTTTCTACTTAGGGGTGATATTTTGATTTACAGTTTCTAAGACACGAAAAAGTAATTGTTAACAAAAAGGAACATATTTTGCCAGTTACTGTGGTCGCTATGATTTTATACTGTAAGGTACTTGTAAGATCTGGGAATACAAAGATGTGAACAAGCTATAGAAATAAATATATAATAATATAATAAACAAATTTCCGGTAGACTTTTCTAAATTGTTCACAAACACTAACACAATTATCTATACGTATAACGTTAGTTTATACTGCTAACTTCATTTTGTTAGTACTCTCAATATTTTCTTAATAATAAGACTTAAAATCGTTTTGAAAGCAGTATTTAATCCAGATTATAGGAAAATATTACTGCAAAATTTCACCCCGAAACAAATCTTTTTACTTCCAAATATCTTCTATCTTGTAAGTTAACAATATTCGTATCACATGCGTATAAGACTCAGGAAATTATATAAAATCGGCTAAGATGATGAAACAAAATTATTTTCCTTCCTGTCCGTATATACGTATGCGATTATCACAAACGACTATCAGTCCTTTTATCTACCACTCTCCTTATTATCGTAGCAGACTCCTTTCTCAGAGTAGCACCATCGGATTGTTTAATATTAATTTTAAGTTAAACACGCTAAACCGAACGCATAGTTATTACATAATCATAATTTAATTTTAATTAACATACATCTAATAATTAATGATGGTGATATAATTTTTGGTGAGGAAGAGGAAATAATTAAGTTGGGTTTTTATGCGTTACTTCACCTGAAATCAATTGTAAATAATTTCTTGCATTTACTCGATTACACATTACTAAATGATACTATGATTACGGATTTATCGCGTTTATTTTTAGTTTTTATTCCCGACTTTTCTAACCCCCTTACAGCGTTGATGGTCACGAGACATTCTTTAAGCTGCCAAAGAAGATGAGCCAATTTTTACCATCAGTGTACGAGTCTGACTGTGCATGTGGGCTCTCTTACTTAGGTCAAACTAAAAGAGCTATAAAAAGCCGCGTGAAAGAACATTTATAGCTGACTTAGATCACAAATTAAATAAGTCTTGAGTCGTTATGAGATGACGATGAGAAAACTCTTAATTCGCCACAACCATCATATCATTATAAATGGTTCGAAACGTCGGGAATTAAAACTAACTAAAACGAACTAAACAAACGCGATAAATCCGTTAACATACTTTCATTTAGCAATTATTTGTTAGTTCATCTGTCGTATACCTGTTATGTACAATACTACTACAAAACCTTCTAGTTACGTTATCTAACAAGAGCTACTTTGCATTAATAATAAACAAAAAACAATTGATTTCGGTAACTTAAACAAAATCCGGCTAAAACGCGTTGGTGAAATAGTTTTCTGACTTCAAATCAAGTATGTTCATAACTCCGTCAGGTCTATTTGTGAAATCTAATCTACTCACTCGTCTGTATACACTTCGCGAGATTGCCTTCATCACCCACCAAATATTATATCACTCCCTCATACATCGCCTGTTAGGGGACGCTCATACAATGGATGCACGCAGTTTACAATCACGCAGCCCGCTCGAGCGATCAGAACCTCTTTCGGGCATATGCTACTTAAGGTCGCCGGTAAATATTCGCACCTGTCGTTGTTCCAGAGCCCCGAAGAGAGGAGCGTCCTCATACAGATACTGGAAAGCACGTATCGTTTCACCCTCGGCTCCATCGCCGGCGGTAAGTATGAGAATCGTGGGGAGCAATATGAAAAAGAGTTAAAGAGAATCATATTAGTGGGAGCATTATGCGCCCTGAGTTGTTATTAAACTTAAAATTTAAAATCCTTAGTTTGTAATAATCATCCCATTGGCCGAATTGAGCGAACCACGGGATGTAATATGTAAAATACAATATTAGTGGGAAAACCTCTTTTGAAGAATAACCAAACCATGAAATATGCGCCCTGAGTTGTTATTTAAACTTAAAATTTAACCAGTTAAAATCCACTGACTGTATTAATCATCCTTATGGCCGCTGATTGTAATAATCATCCCATTGGCCGATGATTGTAATAATTTTTCCATTGGCTGATGATTGCAATAATCGTCCCAATGGCCGATGATTGTAATAATCGTCCCGATGGCCGATGTCTGTAATAACCGTCCCGATGGCCGATGTCTACATTAATCTTCCCGATGGCCGTTGACTATCAATCGTCTCGAAAGCCGTCGATTGTAATAATTGTGTCGATGGCCGCTGACTGTAATAATCGTCCCGATGGCCGATGATTGTAATAATCGTCCCGATGGCCGATGTCTGTAATAACGATCCCGATGGCCGCCGTCTGTAATAATGATCCCGATGGCCGCCGTCTGTAATAATGATCCCGATGGCCGCCGTCTGTAATAACGATCCCGATGGCCGCCGTCTGTAATAATCGTACCAATGGCCGCCGTCTGTACCGCGCCTCGGCCCCGCAGCGGTGGGCGCGTCGGCCGTGTACCCCATCGACCTGGTGAAGACGCGCATGCAGAACCAGCGCACCGGGTCGTTCATCGGCGAGGTGGCGTACCGCAACTCGTGGGACTGCTTCAAGAAGGTGGTGCGCCACGAGGGCGTCTTCGGCCTCTACCGCGGCCTGGTGCCGCAGCTGATCGGCGTCGCGCCCGAGAAGGCCATCAAGCTGACGGTCTGTACGGGGCCACGACGTGGTTTTTTTTTTCTTTTTTTTTTTTTTTAATATTCCTCTTACTTTAGGGTAACATTATCATGTGTTGTAAGGACTTTTTGCAAAAATAATTTGATTTGATTGAGGTATTGGCTTCGGGTCGTCGGTTCGATTCCCACACGGGACAACTGTTTGTGCGACCCGCAGATAGTTGTTTCGCATCTGGGTGTTTGTCCTCGTGCAATTTGTGTTTGTATAACGCCCTTACAACACAGGATAATGTTATCCTAAAGTGAGGGCAATGTTTTTTTTTTTTTAAATGGAAAGAAAAAAAAAAGGAAAAAAGAAAAAATACATGCCAAGTGAATACCGCCGCCCGTGGACATCTGCCACACCCGAGGGTTGCGGATGCGTTGATAGCCGTTTGAAAGTATTATGCTTCCACTTCACGCCGGTCTTCTGTGAGGTCGCGGTACTTGCCCGTTCGTGCAACAGACGAGGCTGCTGCGTGGCCCTGCCACAGTCAAAGCGTTTTAGTCGCTCTGTGCCTTCGGCGCTCAATGTTTGTTGACCTACAGGTGACGGATGATGATGCATGATAGCCGACCACTTCGTTCGTGGTCCATGCGGTGATAAAACAAATATTTGATCACTAACCGACTTCGAAAAAGAAACAGGAGGTTCTCATTTCGACCGTGTATTTTTTTCATGTTTGTTACCTCAGAACTTTGGGCTGTGTGAGCCGATTTTGATGATTCATTTTTTTTATACGAAAGCTGGTGCTTCCCGTGTGGTCTCGCAATTTCATTGGCATTGAATAGAATGGAATAGAATGGAAAATATTTATTGATCGTACACAAACACCGTTTACAAAAAAAAAAAAAGAGAGAACAAAATAACTAATTTACATATAAATACAATTAATAATTTTCCTAATATCGAATAATGAAAATAAATAAAAAGTCTGTGTATGCGACGACCAAAAGGTAGTCAGCTCAGCATAATGCTACGGATATTGGATATTAGGCTCCAGAGATAATAGATAACTCCTGAAAATCGATTATAAAATGATTACAGAGCGAAATATTTGAAGTCGGTTTTGTTTTTCGTCAATAAAAAAATGGATCTGTGCCTAGTTCGGCGTAGACAGTCGTGGGTTCGATTCCTACACGAGACAACTGTTTCTGTGGACTGATAAATAGTTGTTTCGGACCCGAGTGTTAAATGTTAATATGATAAATTACACGTCCACGTGTAATTTATACTTGTATTTTTTAAGCATATAATATACCACTTGGTTCGTGGTCCAGGTGGTGATACTACGAATATTTGCTCATTATGTAGTGCACAATAAATTTCGGTTGAATTGAAACTTGGCTTAGTTTTAATTTTATTAGGAGCTTAGTATATTTATCTATTTCAACAATAACCAATTGAAACTGAATGTTATCGCTCGTTCGTTTTCCAGGTAAACGACTTCGTCCGCGACAAATTCATGGACAAGAAGGGCAATATATCCCTGTACGCCGAAATCCTCGCTGGCGGTTGTGTAAGTAGCGGTTTTTCTGTCTTTTTCCCGATTGCCGAAAGAGGGTAATGTTTTTAGAGCGTATGGTATTTTTTGGCACGTTCTACAGCCCAAATCCATTGACGTCATAGTGTCATTAGATTCGACTCGATCGTAGAAGCGAATTTGGGCGCATTATTTTAATATTATCATTATCGTTTCAAAAGCTTGTTTGAATCCACTACTGAACATAGGCCTCCCCAACAGACTGCCACCGACATACCTCAGAAATAGGTAAGCAGAAGTGGCGATGGGCTGGCCATATAGCTCGAAGAACCGATAATCGGGAAGAAAGGTTCTCGAGTGGCAGCATCGTACTGGCCATCGCAGTGTTCGACTCCCCACTAGATCGACCTGTGAAAATGTGGGGGAAGTCAATGGACGCAAGTGGCTCATCTTACTTCGTGGCAGTCTGTAAGGGAGGCCAATTTCGATATAAAAAATACCAAATAATACTTAATAATTTACGTTAGCTCATTGCTTCTGGCGCAAGGTGTGGATGAAATTAATTGGCTTTATTCCGATTTTCGTTATTGACACTAGTGTTTATAGCCTAAGTTGAACGTGTCGTCGATTCGAAATCGCTAGAATACGACGATCAGGACAACAGTTTCCTTTTTGAAATGATTAATGATTAAGCTTCGTACTTGTTATATTCGTATTAGTATACTAGTTATAAAATATTTCAGGTTAGATAAATATAGTATAAATTCGCTAGAAGGGAGGAAGGGATCAGATGAAATAACATCACGGTTCCGAAAATGAAAAAAACAATGGCAATGTTGCGCCGACCCCACCTAGTGTGGGATGGGGGCAGGAGAACGAAGCAGAAGAAGAAGAAGAATATTAACCGTCGTGACGTTCGCAGGCGGGCGGGTCTCAAGTGGTGTTCACGAACCCGCTTCGTACCTGTATTAGTATACTAGTTATAAAATATTTCAGGTTAGATAAATATAGTATAAATTCGCTAGAAGGGGAGGAAGGGATCAGATGAAATAACATCACGGTTCCGAAAATGAAAAAAACGATGGCAATGTTGCGCCGACCCCACCTAGTGTGGGATGGGGGCAGGAGAACGAGGCAGAAGAAGAAGAAGAAGAAGAATATTAACCGTCGTGACGTTCGCAGGCGGGCGGGTCCCAAGTGGTGTTCACGAACCCGCTGGAGATCGTCAAGATCCGGCTGCAGGTGGCGGGCGAGATCGCGGGCGGCGGGAAGGTGCGCGCGTGGACGGTGGTGCGCGACCTGGGCCTGCTCGGCCTCTACAAGGGGGCGCGCGCGTGCCTGCTGAGGGACGTGCCCTTCAGCGCCATCTACTTCCCGGCGTACGCGCACGTCAAGGTGGCCGCTTTGCGCACGGGTCGGGTGAACGGGCGCGTGTACAGGTCGCGGTGACGACTTCGCGTACGAGCTGGCTGAATGTGTATGCGTACAAGATGTGGTGACGACTTCGTGTACGAGTTGGGTGAATGTGTATGCGTACAAGATGTGGTGACGACTTTGTGTACGAGTTGGGTGAATGTGTATGCGTACAAGATGTGGTGACGACTTTGTGTACGAGTTGGCTGAATGTGTATGCGTACAAGATGTGGTGACGACTTTGTGTACGAGTTGGCTGAATGTGTATGTGTACAAGATGTGGTGACGACTTTGTGTACGAGTTGGGTGAATGTGTATGCGTACAAGATGTGGTGACGACTTTGTGTACAAGTTGGCTGAATGTGTATGCGTACAAGATGTGGTGACGACTTTGTGTACTTTGTGTACGAGTTGGCTGAATGTGTATGTGTACAAGATGTGGTGACGACTTTGTGTACGAGTTGGCTGAATGTGTATGTGTGTACGAGTTGGGTGAATGTGTATGCGTACAAGATGTGGTGACGACTTTGTGTACTTGTGTACAAGATGTGGTGACGACTTTGTGTACGAAGTGTATTGTACAAGATGTGGTGACGACTTTGTGTACGAGTTGGGTGAATGTGTATGCGTACAAGATGTGGTGACGACTTTGTGTACAAGTTGGCTGAATGTGTATGCGTACAAGATGTGGTGACGACTTTGTGTACGAGTTGGCTGAATGTGTATGTGTACAAGATGTGGTGACGACTTTGTGTACGAGTTGGCTGAATGTGTATGTGTACAAGATGTGGTGACGACTTTGTGTACGAGTTGGCTGAATGTGTATGTGTACAAGATGTGGTGACGACTTTGTGTAAGAGTTGGCTGAATGTGTATGTGTATGTGTACAAGATGTGGTGACGACTTTGTGTACTTTGAATGTGTATGGTACAAGATGTGGTGACGACTTTGTGTAAGAGTTGGCTGAATGTGTATGTGTACAAGATGTGGTGACGACTTTGTGTACGAGTTGGCTGAATGTGTATGTGTACAAGATGTGGTGACGACTTTGTGTAAGAGTTGGCTGAATGTGTATGTGTACAAGATGTGGTGACGACTTTGTGTACGAGTTGGCTGAATGTGTATGTGTACAAGATGTGGTGACGACTTTGTGTAAGAGTTGGCTGAATGTGTATGTGTACAAGATGTGGTGACGACTTCGTGTACGAGTTGGGTGAATGAGCGTGTGTACTCGTTGAGGTGACAACTATTGTTTTACTGTTTGTTTTACCTTTAGGTACTTGGATCGCAAATGTTGTGTATACCTATAATTGGCGTAAAAATAAGAACAAAACCTCTAACTAAAAATATATGTATATATAAATGTAAGTATATGTTATGCTGTTGGTGTACCTTAATAAATAAATAAATAAACTATGTGTACAAGTTGGGTAAATGAGCGTGTGTACAGCTTGAGGTGACGACTTTGTTTCTCACAATATTTATCCAGTAGACGTGTGCGAGCCCACGCCCTCTGTAGAAACGGGCTCACTCCACTACGCCAATCGGGTGCGTCGTGTTGTTCAGTTGAACGATCACAATTCTCAAATTGAGAATGTCTGTCTGTTTCAGGCCAAATTCGCCGACGAGAACGGCTACAACCACCCTCTTACTCTGTTGGCGGCTGGTGCCATTGCCGGTATACCGGCCGCCTCGCTCGTCACGCCCGCCGACGTCATCAAGACGCGCTTACAGGTGAGTAATGCCACTAGTGCCAACGCTGCCAGTGGCTCAAGTGACGAGTAATACACTAAAGCCCCGCAGTCTTGCTCTTGACGATAGACAAATAGGAAATGATGACTCAGTCATTTGTCAAACAGTTGTCGAGGTATTGTGGCTTCGGCGCTGGGCGGTCGTGGGTTATGATTTGTGACATTAGCGAGACCCACGGACAATTGTTTCGGATCTGGGTGTTTGACCACGTGTAATTTATGTTTGTAAAGAGTCCTTACAAAACAGGATCATGTAATCCCACAGTAAGGGTACTGTTTAAAAAAAAAAGAAGTACAAGGGCTTAGTCTTGCCCTTGATGATAGAGAAATACGTAATACAGTGAAGTCCGAACGATGACTTGTCACCCATTGGCTGTAGTATGCCCTTACAATAATTGTACAATTCATCATGTTAGGAGAGGTTCCAACGTGCCAGTATTTCCAGCTCTGCCAACGATATCTGCCAGTGTTGCTATCATTGACCCTGATAAATAATAATTGTTGAATTACATAATGCTGACAGTTACAATGTAGCAAATGCTTACGCGCTACCCATAACATGCTGGTTGTAAGCATCTGGATGCATTCAGAGCAGCAATTTTGCCATCAAGCAGTCATTATATGTCCTAATAATGGTAATACCAACATTCAGGTGGTAGCCAGGACCGGCCAAACCACATACAGCGGCGTCATAGATGCAACTAGGAAAATCTACGCGGAGGAGGGCGCTAGAGCTTTCTGGAAGGGAGCTATAGGTAAGTACTTTTATACATACAACTTCAGCAACAAAACAAACAATTGCCGATAAGGTCTTAATTGTGAAGAATCTATACTTGGGTAAGTGCTTGAAGTTAATTCTGAAAGTAAACTAATAATTATTCTATGATTTTATATTATTATATTTATTATTATTATTAAATACCACACTAACTAATTTCCTTAATGTGACAACATATTCTGACTTTGGTACTGACGATCCAATATCTTAATATTAATACAATTTTGTCCCAATTGACGGGCGAATATTGCCCCATTGAGTAATCGACGTCTCACATGTACATACCATCATTGCATAATAAAAGCTCCTACACTGTAAAACAAATTTGGTCCCTTAATGAGTTAAAAAAACGTTTTTTTTTTTTTCTTTCAGCGCGTGTGTTCCGTTCATCGCCACAGTTCGGCGTCACGCTCGTTACTTATGAAATCCTCCAGCGCTTGTTCTACGTAGACTTCGGTGGATCGTGAGTAGCATTTGCGTATTTTAATGATTTGAAAATAATTGTAAAGATACAAAAATCCTCTTTGAAGGCTCTAAAATGATGATTTTGATACTGACGTGGGTTATTATATATTATATATATTTATAGGGTAACGGACGGTGTGTGTGTCGCGAAAGAAAATTAGGGGTTTTAGGTTTTAGATTTATGCATTACGGGTTCTGACGACGCTAGGAATACAGTAATAGTTAAATTTTGAAAAGACAGCTAAGCCATGTAAAATATTGAAATTACTTGTCAGTAATTTCAATGTTAAGTACTTGTAAATTATACTGTATCCAGTACAATTTACAAGTACTTAACATTTTTCCTAATATTGCTCTGTATAATCTAATATTTACTGGATACGTCAGTGATTTTAATACTAAAGATCAAAATTTAATGTGACAACTATTTACATTTTTATAGTGCAGATCTCAGCACTATAAAAATGACACTGACGATGAAATATTAAAATTTTAAGAACAAAGGACGAAAAGTATAATCTACAAGGATATAAGGATATATGCGTCAAGCATTGCTTAAAGTGCGGAAAAAAACAACGTAGATAAAAATCGTTGAGATTTTCGTTGGTGTGGAATCGAAGTGCGGAATTTTCGAAGACGTGAGTTCGATTCTCGCAGTGGCAAAATGCTTATCGTTAAAATATCTTAACCGTAATCTGTATTCCAGTCGTCCAACGGGTTCAGAGCTGCACGTGGCAACTCCGGTGGAAGAGGCCAAGAAGAAAGCAGACCACATTGGAGGCTACCAGGTAGCAATGCCAATTCTGACCGGCCTCGAGACCAAATTCGGTATATCATTACCAAGGTTCTCGTTCCCCAAGCCGCAGTAGGAGGCAGCAGCTAAATCTTATAGAATTAAACAGGTACTACGAGCTAAAATTGATTTTTGCCACAACAAGTGGAATATCTATTGTTTGAATATGAATATTTTCCGATTACAAAGTTACCAATGTTGAGAATTCAGAGAAAAGTTTAATGGATTATATTTGATCGGTAAAAATTTTTAGAGGCTTTTCGTGAGTTAGCGTTGCAACTGTTTGAAACGGTTTGGTGACAAACGAACAGATAATTCAGGCAGCCTAATGAACGTCTTGATAACCTTTTTTATCAATCAATGGAAATTTTTTTTATGCTGCTTCCGATTCATATTACACAATGTAGGAATCAAGCTGTATTTCTCCTAGATAGCATTTATGTTACTGCCATAGACATTTGAATGAGTTATTTATATTATTTCTTATTATCTATAAATGCATCAGATTTGTGTGATCACTTTTTGGTACAATTTTTGATACATACAAAGCCACAGTACACATACCACTACAATATCTCCTGTACAATTGATATTGTCTGTTTCTCATCAAATGTCCTCTATAGACAAGATAAAGTATGTTTGTCAATTTTTATATGTTTATAAGCGAAATCAATTAAAGGAGTACTATATATTTATATTTATAATTTTCTCTGAAAGAAAAAATAATATCTGTATAAGTTTAACCCAATCATGATTGAATATTTGTTTCATTATATTCTCTTATTGTTTTGTTACTTTCTATTTAAATTTTACCTCAGATAAAAGTACAATAGATGCAACTTTTCATGCACAACAAAAAGATTATAATATAAAGTTTAAATATTTGTAGTTATTGAGAATTACATACTATGTTACATACTACATTGTATGTTGAAAATGTCCATAACTTTAAATAAAATGGAAAGTTGCTTCTATTGATTCCTTATATAATTAGCAGTGTCTAATGTTTTATATTAGACAGATTTTTAATATATTTTGAGATTGTATAGATATTATAATGTGTGTAATAAACTCCAGTGTGAAACATGATGTGAATTTTGTAATCGAGATTATTTTAAGCTTGCGTAGGTAGAAAAGGATTGATCAATATAATGAACCGCTTTTCTAGTTTCATATATGAGATAGATGGGCGCATCCATAGTTGTTCGTTTTTCAAGGCTTGCCAATGAATAAAATCTGCACTATTTTATAATTTTGTAACACTGATAGCATTGTGATCTTTCATGTAAGATTTATAGAACACATATATCTAGACATTTAAGAATAAACAGCTTTTTCATTGTTCGATAAAGGCCATAATAATATATATATATATATTGTTAAATAATACAACCCCACGGAAAATATTCTTGTCTAAGGTTTGCTGGCACCATTCATTTTGATTGCCTGGTACTGCATTTTATGATTTAACAATTGCTAAAGAAAACTCATATCATTAGTAAATTCACATTACTCGGGTAATATAACAGAAAATGTAAATGTGAGACCTTAATGGTTGTGTGAATAATTTAGTTTAATATTGTTTACTAAGTAAGAGCACTTAACACTGCGCTTAACAGTGTTGTTAATGTCAGTACAATTGACCTTAATAAGGAACAGTTAGTCTGTTAAACCTAATTTTAATATATTGAAGCTGTCAAATCTTTATTCTATGGATGGCCCAGTACACAAATGCACAAAACTGTATCGAGTTATCCTAGCTTGACGTAAAGTAAGCGAAGTGTTGTATGACAACATTGTATAAAGTGAAATGATAGGGGTAAAGACAAGTGATAGGAAGCTGATGTGACTAGGTACTATATTTATTGACATTGTACATTTTTTGTGTTAAAAATAAATCGAATAAAATCCCAGTTCTTGGTTTTTACCTTTTAACCTTTTAGTATAAGCTAGTGAATGTCAATACATTCACTAAAATTTTAATGAAAATTTTAAGTCATGTGCCGAATCTTTAAAAAATTACATTTATGGAAATGGATCATTAATCTTTGTCTATTTCATTGATGTATAAATTCTTTCATCCTGTGTTTATAAGTGATTCATGTACAGCTCCCTCTACTCTCTTTATGTCTCAATAGCAATATAATCTCAACAATTTACTCGGCCAGTGATGGTGCACACGACTCTAAATGACGAATAATATTGGTAGACGAACATAAAAAAATTTGGATGTCTTCAATTATATTGCTTGCACATAATATTGCCTGCCACCTGCAACAGTGTTCAAAGAGATCAGTATTTAAGCGAAACGACAATAGCAGACTCATGGCAAGAGCTGCAAGTTACTCTATTTGAAGTACAATTTACCACTACTCAATTTTATAGTTGTGACCTGTTTTTGTTAGGTCCTGAAAGTGCGTTTTATGTAATGTCATTGAATAAGAAAGTCACAATTTTTTTTACCTTAATGAAATTTCATGTTCATAATACAAATTTTATTTTGCATATGCAAATTATTTTAAATGGAATTTTGATAGCGTAATTGTGCTATTTAGATTATTATTTAAGTAATGAAATTTTAAGGTGAAAGATCCGGTGCAAAATCCGGCAAAAAGAAACGGACATAGATACTCGGACACATTACTAATTGAATTCAATCATGTTAGATGAATATAGTTTGTGTTTCATCCATAAAGAAAACTTCGGTGTGTTACATGTTACATTTTATTATTTCTTAAACTCTGTGCACTTTTTAGCGTGAAGAAAGCCATTTTATTAAATCCCTAGGGCATATACAAAATAAAATTGGATCGTTTTCTCAAAAAAAAAAAGAAGAAAAGGCCAAGCATTAAAAAAATAACCTTTATCGGTTCATGCAAATATTTATTAATGGTAAAAAACGGTTCTTATATGTAAATAACTTGTCACATTTTCACTCTAGACTTGGGCAGGTATTGCTACTTCACATATTGTCAAATATATCTCAATATCTCAAACTATATTTTATATAAACATTTTTAACTGTATTATACAACAATATTCAAAGGCATCTTCGTGTATGGTATTCCTGTTGTGGATCTTTAATAGTTTTTTGTCAACAAGAATTATAGATTAAAATATATAAACGTAATAGCAATGTAAATTAGAGAAAAGATAATATAACTATGACTAAGAATAGAATGGAACAACTAATGAAATTAGAAACGTAACATTAAAAAATCCAATTGACGACTAATATATACTAGCGAAATTCATAACGGTGTCCACTAGGAAACTGTCTAAGTAGCATTTCACATATTCGCCACTTCTCTAGTCTCTCTTTCTCACCTGATGTATAAAGCTACAAAAAATATAAAACTCCTTTTCCGAAAATTATGTTCATCAAAAAAATTACATAAAATAGACAGTAAAAGTTTTAAATATTTCATACATGGATAACTTTGAATACATAAATAAAATCAGTGAAGCGAGTGTGGATGAATGGATACAATCTTTATTAAAATCATCACTGTCCATCTGTTAGTGGTGGGTTGTTGCAGCTTTCACAGTCAATCAAATGGAACCGTTTACCATTTATCACATTTGATAAACTAGATCAAGTCTAGATAAATTTTCGCAAGCTTGCAGAGTCGTTTAAAAATTACATTCTAACTATTCGTCATAATAAACTCAGAGGGCAAATTGAACGCGATCGATACGATAGCACGGGAAAATATAGTACACGATAAACTGGTTCACCTTTGGACGGAAACTGATTTAGCCTCTGACTTGAGAAAAATGGTTTAACGAAACCTTCATGCGGTTCAACGCCCACCACTATGGGATGACAGTGCTAGACTTCTCCGAAGTTGGTATGCATAGTCTCTTTGGCGTGCTTCTGCGCCTCCGCTTGGCCTGTCAGCAGCTTGCTGCAGACCATGCACTTCAGGGTGAACTTGTTCAGGTCCGTGAACTGACGGGATGATTTCGCTTCGTGCGCCAACTGTTCCGCCTCCTTGTATATCGCCATGTCCTCCGATGGGAATATTGTTTGCACGCCGCCCTGCAAGCGATTCGAAATTTTGAAATAGTAATAATTTTTTAATTTTAATTAACTAATTTAGACATTTTAAACTGTAAACTTTTGTGGATATGTTGATGTCACGGTGGTAGGGCCACGCAGCAGCCTCGGCTGTTGCACGAATGGGCAGGCTCGTCCGGGTAAGTACCACTATCTGACAGAAGACTAGCCTAAAGTGGAAGTATAATACTTTCGCGTTTCGTCTGGTGAGTGAGGTGGCTTGAGCCCAATTTTTCAAAAGGTTGATAATGCATCTAGAACCCTTGTGTGTAGCAGATGTCCATGGGCGGCGGTATTCACTTAAATAATATTATTAGGTGAACCTTCTGCTCGCTTGGCAACTTTTCACATAAAAAAAGGACAAATGCACATCAGTTGTCTCCTTGCATTGCTAAAAATGCAATTGAACAAACAGATAGATGTCAAGATTTTCGCGCCCAGAGATCATTGCCACTTAGTTTAGTCGGTAAAGCGTCTGGACGTGAACCCAGATGACGCAGGTTCGAATCATTAAGTTTTTGTACACTTAATTACAAAAAATTACAATTTAAAGTTTCATCTTAAGTGTAGAGTAAATTTCTAAAAATATAAAATTAATCATAAAAAAATTTTAAGACATTTTAGTTAAAGAAGAGTGGCTTCTTCTGATGCAGGTGCTTCTGTACCTAATAGACAAAGTCGACACTATGTAGAAAAAAACTGAATTGATTAAGCATCTATTTCTTTTTACCGTACAATCATGTTAAGTTCTAATCAAATTTGTGTGTTGAAGGACTCAGTATGATGCCTAAGAAATCGATACGACAGAGCTTATTATTGTATACACAAAATATGTTGCATGTTATCTCATAATTATTGTACACTATTGAAGTATCAAACTTTATAAATATGTAATTGTTTCATATATCATATAATTGTAATTCTGCTTTTAGTTAAAACGTGCCAATGGGATTTGAATCCAAAACCTTTTATTAGAATACAGGGTCCGCAGATACTATGCCACTGGTGTTATGTTAAAGACATAAATAAATTACAAAAAAAAGTATTTAACTTACATCAGACTGTTCCAGGTACAAAGGATCATAGTGCACTCCATCAAAGAGCAAAAACACTCTTTGTCCATAATTCTTATCTTCACCGAACCTATTAATTATTGCATTTAAAGTATCCACAACAGCCATTTCTATACCGTAAAAGCGGGATAGTATTGCCACCTGAAAAAAAAGGCTCACTACATAAAATACACAAAAAATTATGCACAATTTGCGACAAATTAACATTAATTTCTTCCATATAATATAATAAGTAACAAAATGTTTTTTAAGAAACATACATAACCACATGCTATATCACATATTATAACGCAATTCTTAAGTAGGTGAGATAACAAACAAATGAATTTTTTTTTAATTATTAATTTTCTTTTTTAGCTATGCCAAGTCCAATATAAGTTTGCTTCAAACTAATTGATTGCAGTAAAATAAATCAAGGAGCAATTCCAAAAAGAATTCAGTTTAATTGTATCAAGGAATTAGTGTAAAGAGATATATTTTTGACTAGGTTGTTTGAGAGCTTTTACAATACCAAGTTTATAGTTAGCTTATGTAGAAAAGTTTATCAGGTAGTAAGTCTTGGTGACATTTTTTCATCCTTTTTCATGAATTTTAATATATAAAAATAAAATATGGTCTTAATTAACCAAACCTTAAAGTTTGAAAGAAAATAAATGTTGAGCTTAATGTATATAAGTTTACAATCATAACATTTAATCTTTGATCTTACAAAGGATGACTTTGCGTATTTTAAAACAACAATGAAAATCTTTGCAATTGCTTTGTTAAATGAAAATGTATATTTAAAAACATTTGACTTCATTAGCATGTCGGAAGTATTTTGATAGTGTGTAGTTGTTATGTAAATAGGAAACACCAATTAAAGATAGCAAATGTCACCTCTATGGCACCACCCCAAGAGCTTGGCTGTTGAATCCAAGTGCAATATTCAGCATTTGGTTTTCCAAGCATGGCTTCACTATAAGTCTCATGGTCACTGGCCACCTCCATTGCAATGATTTGCCGCATCAACGTATGTACAGTGGTATCCACATTGCCATTCAATACAAAACCTGTAAGTTTTTAGTTCTTAGTGAAGATTATTTCACATTACACAAAAGTTCATTGATATTGAAAAACTGAATAGCAACAATTACACTATGAATTCAAGAAATTAACAATTTTAACACGTTTCAATAAATCTTGCCTTGTATATAGCAAATATTTATTGAACGCATAAGCCATGCCCAGAGTTATATAAAAGTTACAAAATATTCTTAATAAACTGCAGATCTTTTGATAGACATAATTATATCAAAAGAATCAAGTAAATTTTACCAGTATCTAAAATATTTTGTATCCAAATAATTTATTTTTAATAAGTGATTTTGTAAAATGAAGTTATGCAAGATTTGTCTCTGCTTTTGAAATTATAGATTTATTTGAGAAAAGAATATAAAATGTGGTGTTTAAATGTAATAATGAAAACATGTAACATGAATAAATTATTTAGAATTACAACAGTAGTGCATTTTGTGACAGAACAAAATATATAGAAGTTTGAAATATTACATATTAATAAGAAATATACTCACCTATGCTAGTAAATAAACATGAGTTATCAGGAGGGACTACTTTTTTCATTAAAATACCAGGTCTACACGGCCCTATAGTTTCATGGGAAGCCACGCCATTCTCCACGGGTTTTTGTGGTTGGGGCTTTGGCGTTGTTTCTTGAAGACCAGTTTTTTCTTCCAAAATCAAAGTTTCACCAGTCTTTAAACCAATATCACTTAAAGTTTGGTTATCATTGCTAATATCAAGCGGCTTGGGTGGATAACCACATAAAACGTAAATTCTTTCAATGCTCACGTCCGATAGACTAGAGAGAAATATTTTTAATTCGCCTACTGTACTTTCAGAGGTCAAATCTTTTAAAATATGCTGACCATCTTTATTTTTAACTTTTAACGCCAGTGCAGCCATTTGCTAAAACTTAATTAAGCACTATTGAATTTTATGAATGTGGCTATTCGTCACAAAGTCTGGGAAAAAAAGTAGAACAAATAAATAAATAACATTACGTATAAGCTTCGACTTTCTGAAGTGACGAAATGACATTGACATATCCTATTTAAACTGCATCAGAGAATCAGAGAAACTATAACGAACCGTAGCCAAGCAGTGTTGCCACTGCCAACCCGGAAACTTTTTTTTCTTGGTGTAGTTAACTACTTTTTAAGCTGTTAGACCCGTGGCTTTGAACAGTTTCGTCAGAAGAGCTCCGTAGTTACACAACCCATGGAATCAAAAAAGAACAAAGATGCTCCTCATGCCCCAAGCCCCTAGGCGAGGGAGACAGCGGGAGGGCATGAGACGAGCCGTTGGCTTGCCTATGCTATAGAATTAACATTTGACTTGGACCGCAGTTGATTGTGGAAACTATCAAGAGGAAGTACTTAAAACGTGAAGACAATTTATTTTCGAAAACAATTTAAGTATTTAGAAAAACCATTAACTATTGTACATTACATAATTGACATAAACACAGCAATTATTTGAATTATACAATTTTATAAAATAACCAGTTTAGCAAGATATAATTTAGAAAAATAATAACCATATTTAAACTACTTAACTCGTGATTGATCGGACGCACTCGGGCAGATTATGCAGTACGATTCCTCCATAGCCGTACTTGCACTTGTCTGAACTCTCTGACTTCGACTACCCTCTAAACTTGGGCATCCGAGATGGCACTGCTGGGCTGTTATAAACTTTTTGGATGTTCCCGCTGACTACTTGGTACTTATATAATCCACAGATATATTCATTTGTAATTTGCTTTTTATATATTTTTATTTTTGGTGTACAATAAAGTATAAATAAATAAACAGATAATTGTAAGGATTTGGGAATGAATGGAATTATACGGATATGAATACTTGTGCATCACCTAAAGAATAGTGACAGACAGAAATAAGGACAAAATAACTATAAATTCATGGGGAAAAGTGTGTAATATAATCGTACAGTCGATATTAACTCTTGATAATTTTAAACACAAAATTAAAAGTAAATTCATTTTTAATTTACTTTTAATATTTTGTATAAATTATTATGTAAAATTCAATGTTTCATAAGAACGCGTAAGCGTCTATCTCAATTAAGATATTTTGAATTTTGTGAAATTTATGTGTGTAAGACGTATTTTCTAACAGTGCAAAGGCCATGTAGGCTAAAGTAAGGCTTCTGTTTTTGTATGAATGGGCAGGATCTTCCGGGGAAGTAACAATGCCTCAATCAAATATATATCAGTGTGAATTGTAAGGATGACATTTTCAAATTTCGTCAAGCGAGTGAAGTAGTGCCACACAAAAGTCTTCGCCTGTACGACTTCATAGGAGTCCAGCGTGAAGGATGTTACAATTCTATGCTTCGTCTGGTGAGTGTGGTTGACGGGTTAAAATACAGGTATTTTAAACTCGGCGGTCCTCACTTAATATCAGGTAAACCACAGGTGTCACATAAATAAAAAAAAACATAAAAGATAATGTTATGGTTTTTTCTATATATATTATACAGTTAAAAAAGAGACAAAAATTGTACTTTAATTCGTCGTGTCCTTTCCAAATGCAATAAGTTGCCACATTCGAAGCTTTATCGCTAATAGATTTGTGTGTTATTTTGTGTGTATTTTCAAGCCATTTCAAGCTATTTGGATCTTTGTACGACTTTAGGCGATAATTTCTATATACTCAAATTTATAAATGTATTTTAAAAATAAAAGACTGATATTGATATTTTTTTTAGTTTTAATAAAAAAAATTAACCATCCTACGTATAAATATTTCCACTGCTATATTATAAAACACTAGCTTAATAGACTATCATTAAGTAAGTATCGATTTTTGGCACAATGATAATAAATATCAAAAGGTGTTATAAAATGATTTATATAATAAACATTGACATCGATTTTTAGTTTCCTAACTCAACATCTACTTTCTATTTTATGAAAAATTACTACGTTTAATTAGTATGATTCGAGGTTTTAAATATCGAATATGACTCAAATAGCGATAAACAAAATTAAACAAGTAAAATGTCTGTATACACTAAACGATTAAACGATATTTATAATATATTTTGCCAACTTAAATAAAATTTGAGAAAAAATTACTGGTTTCTCAATAAACAACATAAATATGAACATAATAAATAGAAATAGGTAAAATAATTACTTGATTACATGTATATGTTATAACAATCTATAATACGTATTTTAATTTCAAGATAAGATACCGTATGATATGAATTTCAACACCTAATATCTAAAAAGTAATATTTTATATATGTATTGTCATTTCGGTTATTTCCTAATTTACGTTAAAATACCTTAGTATAATATATAGGTCATATAGATAAGTTGTAATTTTGAATAACGGGATTGCACGTATGCATTTTAAAGGTTAATCTGTTACTTATTTGTATGTATGTCCTAAGTACGTTGTACCTATTTGTCATTATATAATGACTTACCTACCTATAAAAGTTATTTGTCTATGGCACTTAAATATTAACAACAGATTTCTTTGGTATATTATGCAGACATGGACTACCACTCAAAATTATCGACCAGTAACAATCTTATGCTCTTAATGACTGAGTATTTTGGTAACCGCTATCAAAATTAAGTATTACACCTAAGTATCCCTAGAAATAATTTATTTACACTTTCATTCAGTCAAGGAAATCATTTTAAATATCCTAACGAATTATGAGGGCCTTTCGAAAACCTAATAACAAAAATATTCGAACAGTCGAATTTGAAGAACAATATCGATTGATCTGAATTTCTGTTTGTTCTCAATGTTTAAACATCAGAAATGTCTGTTTTTTTTATTTGTTTTGCTTCGATTAATTCGAGAGAAGAAAGACATTTTTAATTCGAATTGAACTATTTGGGAATGAACTTTTTGATTAAGGGCAGTACTAGCCGACAAATTAACTGTCAGGATTATATCGAAAACAATGGCGGTGTATCTGTTAATGAATTTCTGTATAAAGAAATCCCAAGAAGGTAAACTTTAATGATGACAACATTATTAATAAAAAGCTGTCAAATGTGACACTTTAACAAAACACGGTGGTAATAACTGTGGACATCTTGTCTCTATGGATTAATCCCAAGACGTTAAACTGTAATGGACAGTTGAGAGAATCGCGGCGGTGCAACGGTGCTTGTCTGTATGAAATGTCGAACTGTAATAATTTTAGATATTTTGTATTATATCGCGATCGCGCCGGTCTCCGACTTGGGTCGGTTGCCGTGGTTGCGATGGGGCCGCCGGTGTCTGGGGTGCCGCGCGCTCGGCCACCGTCACGTGGGCCTCCGGACGAACCGCGGCAGGGCGCCGCGCAGGCCCCTCCGGCCCACCACCAGGGGCGGCGTGCGCTCGTCCTCCTCCTCGATCTCGCCCTCGGAGCTGTCCTCCTCGCTCCACAGCTCCGGCCGCACCGACTGGTACGAGGCCGAAAAGCCCTTGAACACTATCGAGTCGTCCGTTCGGAATTTCACGAGGAGCGCTTCGGTCGTCGACATGATTTCCGGCGGGGTCTGTCATGGGAAAGAGATTAAATTTAAGACTTGTCTTGGCAGTAATCTTTAAAGGTGTATACATTATATATATGAATATATGTATATATCTCATTAAAAAATGTCATTAGGAGTTGAATTAAAACAATATCAATATCAATCAAAACCTTTCCCAAAATTAGCCTTCAACACCACACATGATTAACCAAAGCTTAAAAATGTAATGAACAAATTCATTTGACTACCTGATTTGCCACATCAAGAATTCTGAAACGAGTCTACGGCTTTTACTTACATTCTAAAAGGCGAATCAGTAATTCGAATATATGCAATAATTCACATTGGAATTACCGTTTCTCAACGGTCACATTCTTAACAGTGGCGGGGTCACGCAACAGACTTCAGTGTTGCACGAATGGGGAAGTACCACGACCACATAGAAGATAGGTTTCAATTAGAAACTAATATTTTACAAGGCTGTCAACGCGTCTACTATAGTAAAAACCCTCGTGTGTAGCGGATGTTCATGGGCGGCGATATTCATTTGAAATCATGTGAACCGCCTGTTCGAATGGCAACTCTCCCGTTAAAAAAAGATAACAAAGTAGAGACATGTAGAGACGTACAGACGAGCCTGTAAAGAGTAAAGAGAACGTAGTGTGCGAGCCTGTACAGAGTACAGAGACCGTACTTTGCGAGCCTGTACAGAGTACAGATACCGTAGTGTGCGAGCCTGTACAGAGTACAGAGAATTTACTGTGCGAGCCTGTACAGCGTACAGAGAACGTAGTGTGCGAGCCTGTACAGAGTACAGAGACCGTACTGTGCGAGCCTGTACAGAGTACAGATACCGTACTGTGCGTGACTGTACAGAGTACAGAGAACGTAGTGTGCGAGCCTGTACAGAGTACAGAGAACGTACTGTGCGAGCCTGTACAAAGTACAGATACCGTATTGTGCGAGCCTGTACAGAGTACAGAGACCGCACTTTGCGAGCCTGTACAGTGTACAGAGAACGCAGTGCTTCAGAGGGCGCTACCTTCGTGCCGCAGAAGCTGCCGTAGTCGCCCGCGCTGCCCTCCAGGCCGCCGAACACCTGCACGAAGTCGTAGCCGCAGTTCGACTCCGGCTCCAGCTCGAACGTGAGGAAGGTGAGCTTCACGAAGTGGCCCATCGGCGCGACGATGCTCCAGTCGCAGTTGGCGCGCGACTCGTACGAGTCGTGGCCGTAGCGCGCGTGCGAGTACAGGTGCTTCACCGTCTCGGTGGCGGCCAGGTAGCCGCCGCAGGCTGCGTGTTGGGTAAATGAGTTACGTGTGACTTATGAAAGACGTTGCTAGGAGGCGACCAATGATAAACCGGTTTGATTGAACAGCCTTTAGTTTTAAAACGTTGGCCGTATGTATAAGTTACGTGTGACTTATGAAAGACGTTGCTAGTAGGCGACCAATGATAAACCGGTTTGATTAAACAGCCTTTAGTTTTAAAACGTTGGCCGTATGTATAAGTTACGTGTGACTTATGAAAGACGTTGCTAGTAGGCGACCAATGATAAACCGGTTTGATTGAACAGCCTTTAGTTTTAAAACGTTGGCCGTATGTATAAGTTACGTGTGACTTATGAAAGACGTTGCTAGTAGGCGACCAATGATAAACCGGTTTGATTGAACAGCCTTTAGTTTTAAAACGTTGGCCGTATGTATAAGTTACGTGTGACTTATGAAAGACGTTGCTAGTAGGCGACCAATGATAAACCGGTTTGATTGAACAGCCTTTAGTTTTAAAACTTTGGCCGTATGTATAAGTTACGTGTGACTTATGAAAGACGTTGCTAGTAGGCGACCAATGATAAACCGGTTTGATTGAACAGCCTTTAGTTTTAAAACGTTGGCCGTATGTATAAGTTACGTGTGACTTATGAAAGACGTTGCTAGTAGGCAACCAATGATAAACCGGTTTGATTGAACAGCCTTTAGTTTTAAAACGTTGGCCGTATGTATAAGTTACGTGTGACTTATGAAAGACGTTGCTAGTAGGCGACCAATGATAAACCGGTTTGATTGAACAGCCTTTAGTTTTAAAACTTTGGCCGTATGTATAAGTTACGTGTGACTTATGAAAGACGTTGCTAGTAGGCGACCAATGATAAACCGGTTTGATTAAACAGCCTTTAGTTTTAAAACGTTGGCCGTATGTATAAGTTACGTGTGACTTATGAAAGACGTTGCTAGTAGGCGACAAATGATAAACTGGTTTGATTGAACAGCCTTTAGTTTTAAAACGTTGGCCATATGTATAAGTTACGTGTGACTTATGAAAGACGTTGCTAGTAGGCGACCAATGATAAACCGGTTTGATTGAACAGCCTTTAGTTTTAAAACGTTGGCCGTATGTATAAGTTACGTGTGACTTATGAAAGACGTTGCTAGTAGGCGACCAATGATAAACCGGTTTGATTGAACAGCCTTTAGTTTTAAAACGTTGGCCGTGTGTATAAGTTACGTGTGACTTATGAAAGACGTTGCTAGTAGGCGACCAATGATAAACCGGTTTGATTAAACAGCCTTTAGTTTTAAAACGTTGGCCGTATGTATAAGTTACGTGTGACATATGAAAGACGTTGCTAGTAGGCGACAAATGATAAACCGGTTTGATTGAACAGCCTTTAGTTTTAAAACGTTGGCCGTATGTATAAGTTACGTGTGACTTATGAAAGACGTTGCTAGTAGGCGACCAATGATAAACCGGTTTGATTGAACAGCCTTTAGTTTTAAAACGTTGGCCGTATGTATAAGTTACGTGTGACTTATGAAAGACGTTGCTAGTAGGCGACCAATGATAAACCGGTTTGATTGAACAGCCTTAGTTTTAAAACGTTGGCCGTATGTATAAGTTACGTGTGACTTATGAAAGACGTTGCTAGTAGGCGACCAATGATAAACCGGTTTGATTAAACAGCCTTTAGTTTTAAAACGTTGGCCGTATGTATAAGTTACGTGTGACATATGAAAGACGTTGCTAGTAGGCGACAAATGATAAACCGGTTTGATTGAACAGCCTTTAGTTTTAAAACGTTGGTCGTATGTATAAGTTACGCGTGACTTATGAAAGCTGCTTGTTTGTTTGTTTTTAAAAAAAAATAAGTTACGTGTAACATAGGTGCTTGACCGTTTTGGTGGCGGCCAAGTAGCCGCCGCAGGCTGCGTGTTTTTAACAAGCTCTATGTGTCTTATGAAAGAAATTGGCAGCAGGCGCCTCATCATGAATCTTTATTTTTAAAACGGTTATTTAGTTTCTCATAATGAAGTTGCTAACTGTAGACGGTCATAATTCATTAGTAGCATTACACGGATATTAGGTAAATCAAAATCAAAAATTTATGCTTTGCTTGGATCGTGCTTCGTGGCCAGTAGGGGTAAACAAGTATTGCAGGTGGGGGGCGCTAGTGTTCTGCGGGAGATTTGAGAGGGATACCGAGGGATCCATCTCAAAGCACCCGCCAAAAATTAACAACACTAGCCCCCTCACCTTTAATACTATTTTATTATAAAAAATATCGGGTTTAGTCAATTGACATTCTATTAAAAAGTATCTTAATATTAATGACGACTGGTCTAAAACAGGCTAAAACTGAAATGATGATAATGACGATAAAGCCTCATATTTTTGAGGTGCTCATAATTTTGAAGTCGTTGTCATGATCTAAAAACTTCGTACCAGTAGAGTAGGTAGCGAGGAATCCTTTCCGCTGGACGGAGGCGTCGGACTTGAACACGACGTACATCTGGTTCTGTGACGCTACCACTGGATGTGGCAGTTTGCTGCCGCAGAAGCGGCCCAGCGTCTTCTCGTCTGCTGACGCGCCGTCGTATATCGACACGTGGTCGTATGTGCATTCCTTCAAACGGATATTACAGAACAGTACTTACAATACAGTAAGTTTCTCTTACTGTTAAGGAACTCTTATTCTGAATGCTGCCGTTATGACTACGATCTTTTTTACAACTTTCTTACAACGCAAGAAAATAGAATTGTTTTCATACATTTATTTGTTTATTGCAAGGCAAACAGAAAAATATCTATATATTGACGGATAACTTTCTTTGGAAATTAAAAAAACCAGACAACTATATCTACTCTTGTGAATTAATATTCCAAACAGTAATGTTGTGTAACGGCCTATAAATTTGAAGATAAGAGAAAAATTATAAATAGTACAATATACTGTAATGTTAATTAATGAATAAATTATTTGACATAAAACAATATAGCCATACCTGATGCGACTCCAATTCGAAAACGTTAAAGATAAGTTTTATTCGATGGCCTGGCGTTGTGGAGAATTGCCATACGCAGTCTTTCCTCGATGGGTAAGTATCGGGGTAGTTTGGGCTACGAATGGAAAGTTGAATTATTTTTTTGGAAAATATTGATATTTACATATAATCGATTGGCTTACTGACTACGGGGGCAGATGACAGACGCGATGTCAAGGGTTCAAATCTGTACCTCAGAGGTAAACAGCATTATGCCTCAAAACACACATTTTCCTGTGTAAATGAATTGAATTCAATGTGATATACGATTGGATATTTTATTAATTAGGCGTCGTAGGACTTAATGCTTTATACTATTGTGTAGAATTTGTTCTTGCGATTTTAATGGTGTAAGAAAAATAATTCTGAAAAATGTGGAGTTACTATGTATGTCTTTGAGATACAGAAATATCAGTGGAATGCCTGGTATTATAGTTATTATTGAAAGACAATTAATGGTAATTGACCTAAGTTTGGTTTGTATTTATCAAGCTGTTATGGTAGTGCTTCCGTAGGATTGTTAGCAGGGACTTTAGTTTATAAAATTTCATTTATACAATAATATTTAAATGAATTCACTGACATATTTTGTGCACTGGAGTAGAGTAGATGATGTTGATGAGGTCATAATATTCATCCAAACTGTGAATAAATACGGCCAATACAGTTAAATTTGTGATAGTTACATTGCAACTCATGTTGCTAACCGATGATGATTAGACACAACGCCGTATTCAAGGCGAAACTAGTTAAGCAAATTGTCGTGAAGTGGGAATTGTCACATCCACATACGAGTGACGTCACAGCAATTCAAGTTCAAAGTGTATTTTCATCATTAGATTAAACAAAATCACCATGTAGAATTTTAATAACAGGTTTTTTATTATTTGTGTAATGCGTTTGGAGTCGGCTATGGCACGGTAAGGTGGAAGTTTGGAAGTTTTGCTGTAATTGAGTAAAACTTATTTGTCTGGAGTTAGTAAAAAAAATACTTTTTGGTTAGTATAAAGGCAAGGCAATCGTGCCTATTTGAATCCGCGGGACAAATTTTAATGCCATAAAGTGGAGCGTCGACACTCCTAGGCCTTTGACCATGGTGGCCGCGTGAGGTTATAAGCTTTCAAGTCGCTTAACACTTTTTACTGTCGGTGTTAACTTCATTAACTGTTCGATGAGTCTGATTCCCGTAGAACATTTAAGACCAGCATGATGTCGAAGTGTTACACTTCTGCTTTTCGTCCGGTGAGTGAGGTAGCCGGGGCCCCTTTTATTAAAAGTGCCACCCATCTGTAACCCTAACATTGTGCAGCGCAGTACAGTTAATCGCGAGTAGATACAGTAGATAGTACATTTAATTATAAATATTATACAGCGTGTCTTTGCAACCGCGACAATAAATTAACACACGTCTAACGCTAATTGCCAATGATCATAAAAAAATATCAAATGTTTAAAAAAATCCATACTAAAAAAATTATATTTCAAACAAACTAAAAATAAAAAAGAAACAAAATTTGTGACATCCTATACAACTACAACTGACTGATTCATACATTCAGACACTTCTTCATTCGTTGCCGCAGCGTCGCACTACAAATCTCCCCTTCTAACAGTATGTTTTATCTCTTTCAAATATGCTTTGTAACCTTTACAAATGTACTTTACGTTACCGTGTTTTTTGGTAAATTTAATACCTCGGTAAATATTGAAAGAATGTAAATGTTTAACACAATTTTAAAAAGTTATCCTCTATAATATGTGTGTTCATTTATTGTAGCGGTTGTAACGACAAGCTGTATACAGGAGGCTTTTTTAAAGGTGGGTGTCAGTTATGGAATGGTCGCGCGTAAAATAAATGAGATAAGTTCGAATGAATGTAATTAATTACTTACGAGTGATTTACAATATTTATCATGATTTACATAAAATTATTTGTGTCATGAATTTAATAAAAAAATATGGATACACTTAGAAAAGCCTCCCTGTATAATAGTAGCGTGGTTTTATCTCATCTCCTTGCCACCATAGGGAGCCATAAATCTCTAAACCTGTTTGTCCACGTGAAATTGATATGATGACTCCGTGGCGCAGTTGCCAAGGTATTGGCGTCGGCGTCGGGGGTCGTGGGTTCGATTCCCACACGGGACAACTATTTGTGTGGCCCACAGATAGTTGTTTCGCATCTGGGTGTTTGTCCGCGTGAAATTTGTATTTATGTAAAATTTCCTTACAACACAGGATAATGTTATCCTAAAGTAAAGGTAATGTTTTAAAAAAAAATATATGTTTGAAAGCGTCCTTACAAAGCGGGATAATGCTGTCGTAAAGTAAAGCGTCCTTACATACATATGTAATGCTGTCCTGAAGTAAAGTAAAAAAAAAATAGGCAAGGGCAGCGCGCCCGCCCACCTGAATATGGTGCCGTGCGGCAGCGCGATGTCGTACTTGCAGCCGCCCTCCTTGCAGTCGCGCCGGTTGGCGTGCAGCGCGAAGCCGCTGTGGCAGGCGCACTCGAAGCCGCCGAGCGTGTTGCGGCACTCGTGCTGGCAGCCGCCGTTGTTCTCCGCGCACTCGTCCACGTCCATGTAGTACGTGGCCGCGAAGCCCGAGTGGTGCACGGAAGTGTCCGACGTGAACTGGCGTCGAAGTTACACTTCTTTAAGCGCGTCGGGAGAAAGCGATCGGGGTGAAATTTTAAGACGGTACCGTGGTACGCCACGCGGCGGCCTCGGCTGTTGCACGAATGGGCAGCCTCTTTTATTGTTCATATTCTTTTCCGGTCTTTTTATTATTTTTTAATGATGCCAAAGAAGTATAACTTCTCACGCGCGTGTACTGTACGCGCACCCATTTTTATTAAATGTCGCGTTTCTCACGCGGAGACGGGTGTTTTTTTTTTAAATTATAATACCTAACCGTTTGTCAAACTGTCGCCCAGTGCCATAGAGACTATAATGATGCACCCGTGGCGCAGTTGCCAAGGCTTCGGCGTCGGGGGTTGTGGGTTCGGTTCCCACACGGGACAACTGTGCGGCCCAAGGATAGTTGTTTCGGGTCTGGGTATTTGTTTGCTTGAAATTTGTGCATGTGAAACGTATTGAACATAATGTTAACCAAGACGGTACGGGCAATGCTTTTAAAAGAAAAAGAACAAAGTAAGGGCCTATTCTATTAATCCCACGCGACTCCATGATGGAGGACCCAAATAGGTCCGAAAGTACTCCATGATGAAAGACCTCCGATAGGTCCGAAAGTAGTCGATAGATCCACCGATTGGGCGTGAGTTCAGCCATTTTATTACTTCGTTACTAATATCTCACGTTTGTGGTGTGACCACGCAATGGTCTTCGCTGTTGCACGATTGGGCAGGTCCGTCAGGGTTAGTACCACGACGTAACAGAAGACCGGCGTAATGAAGAAGTATTGCACTTCTGCGTTTCTTCTGGTGAGTGAAGTAGCCGGAGTCCACATTATCAAAAGGTTTCAACGCATCTGCAATCGATCAAATGTCCGTGGGCGGCGGTTATGCATCTGCTATCGGTGTTGCAAATGTCCGTGTGCGGCGGTTATCACTTAACATTAGGTGAAGCGCCACCAGTTCGTTTGCGACTTTCTCACGCAAAAAAAAGTTTACCTGGACCCTTAGAACCGATCCGTCCGAAGTGACTGGCGGAGGCAGCGCTGAGCCGCAGAAAGCGCCGTGCCGCCTCAGGACCTCGTCACCGAGACGCGAGTGAACGGTCACGCTGTCATACTCGCACTCCTATCGAATTAGAGACTCGATTAAGTTTTTTCATGTGGTACAAAAGATTGTTATCGGATTATTACTCGCACTCCTATCGAATTAGAGACTCGATCAAGTTTTTTCATGTGGTACAAAAGATTGTTATCGGATTATTACTCGCACTCCTAACGAATTAGAGACTCGATTAAGTTTTTTCATGTGGTACAAAAGATTGTTATCGGATTATTACTCGCACTCCTATCGAATTAGAGAATCGATTAAGTTTTTTCATGTGGTACAAAAGATTGTTATCGGATTATTACTCGCACTCCTATCGAATTAGAGACTCGATTAAGTTTTTTCATGTGGGACAAAAGATTGTTATCGGATTATTACTCGCACTCCTATCGAATTAGAGACTCGATTAAGTTTTTTCATGTGGTACAAAAGATTGTTATCGGATTATTACTCGCACTCCTATCGAATTAGAGACTCGATCAAGTTTTTTCATGTGGTACAAAAGATTGTTATCGGATTATTACTCGCACTCCTATCGAATTAGAGACTCGATTAAGTTTTTTCATGTGGTACAAAAGATTGTTATCGGATACTCGCACTCCTATCGAATTAGAGAATCGATTAAGTTTTTTCATGTGGTACAAAAGATTGTTATCGGATACTCGCACTCCTATCGAATTAGAGAATCGATTAAGTTTTTTCATGTGGTACAAAAGATTGTTATCGGATACTCGCACTCCTATCGAATTAGAGAATCGATTATGTTTTTTAATGTGGCACAATAGATTGTTATCGGATACAATGGTCACATCTAGCAATTCTAATGTGGGTAGAAATACTTTATTAGTAATTAACGTTCTCTAATCAGATCAATACCCTGTTCAAAATAAATATTTTTCATTGAAATAGGTATGTTTTAATATGTTTATTTATATATTAATATATCACTCTTCGGTTAAACGTTACTATACGAATATTTGCGTGCGTCAATTGGTTAATTATTTCATTTGTTTATTTTTATTTAATTTTAGAATAGAAATGGCGGTTTAAACTCGTTGCGATTATCATTTAAAGTTGCCTAGGTAATATAAAGAACCAAAGCACCTGCTATTGTATTAAAGTAGACTGAGACCTAAGTAAGCTTAACACTAAATTTCAAACTTTTAATATACCTTGGATTATCTATTAACATTCGTCTCTCTATGACTCTACGTCAAAAGCAAGGATTGAGCATTCAAGTCAAAATTCAAATTAAACCGTAGCAATCACATGAAGCGTGTAATTGTTTAACGCGTCGATCCTGACTCACCTGATGATACATGTTGTTGGTCCCTTCAAGGTCGAAGTGCGTGAAGTTAAGCGTGATCCGATGCTGCGGGGGCGCCACTATCTCCCACAGGCAGTTCTTCGAGGGCGGGTAGAGGTCCGGGAACGATGGGGAGGTAATGGTGCCATTCGGGGCGTACAGTACTCCTCCGCATGCGTCTGGTGAGAAGCAAAAGTCTATTTAACAAGGGCTCACTCATTCTATTTGGGAATCAAAGGTTGCAAGACGTCCAAAATTTGCACTTGTATTTATTTAATGAACTAAAATTTAAACAAGGAATCAGTATGCACTATGCCACTTTATACATTATCGCTATCGTTATCACAATAATTATCATCATCATTCCAGCCTGTTTAAGTCTACCGCTGGTCATTTGCTTCTTCCACAGTCTGTCACAAGCCAGTTGGGTCACGGTCGAGCCACCTGCATCCATCGACTTTCCCAGAGATCTCCACGGTATCTAGTTTGACTTCGACCTACTAAACAACAAAAAAGGCTCTGGCGTTGTTCAGTAATTTTTACAATTTTCATCCGTAGTGTTGAGGGCACACCTTCGGAAATATCATAAAGGAACGGAGAAAAGAAAGAACGTAAAAAAGGATTGAAAGCTCCGTGGTTAGCTTTTGTAGATGAAGAAAAATTATTAGTGTCGTCTTCCATCTTATACCAGGCAAAGACTGCGAATACATAAATATTGGAGAATAGGAAGAAGTAAAATGAATAGAGCAAAGGGAGAAGTAGAATGAATGGAGAAAAGAAATAAGTGAAAAGAAACGGAGAAAGAGAATAAGCAAAAAGAGCGCAACTAACTCTCGCACTTCTTGCCGTCCGAGTGCAGCTCGTAGCCGATGTCGCAGGCGCACTCGTAGCCGCCGAGCGTGTTCACGCACGAGTGGCTGCAGCCGTGGTCGATGGACGCGCACTCGTCGAACTCCTTCATGAAGGTCGCCGAGAAGCCGGCCTTCTGCACCGAGCTGTCCGACTCGAAGATCACGAGGAGCTTGTTGGAGGTCGACCTTAAATCGGAATATTGCATTTATTTCTTTTATTATTTTTTTTTTGTGACGTGTAGTTTGCTGTTGGCCCGGCGGCTTTGACAGCTTCATTTATTATCTAAGAATGTATTGTCCAACATAAGGCTAACTTTATGGTAATAAGCATTCTCTTCCAGTCGACTATATAAATATTATGTATAAATATTTCGAGACATATTTTAACACAACACTATTTAGTCCCAAACTAAGCTTGTACTATGGATACTAGGTACCTGATAAAAAAATACATACTTTTTTTTTAAAATAAATACTCTATAATACGATATATAAACACACAAAAACTAGAGAAACACTATGTTCATCACACAATACTATTTCACTCGTGGGGAACCCACACTCCTGGCGTAGGAGACAATTCTACGCCAATCCACTACGCAAATCAGGTCGTCATGGAGAATGAAACAAAACATTAAAGTGTGTAGTTTACAATTAAACATTAACTCTTTATTAGGACAATATTTTTTTGTTTATAAAATGTTACCCTTACTGTAGAATAAAATTATGCTGTGTGACACAAATAGTTTTCCCGTGTCGTGCCATAGTCGTACCGTATTTATTATGCTAAAAACAAGATCAAATTTTATTAACTTGGAGGGGTACAAACAGAACGGTACTGCCACAATATTATTGTACATGAACATTCAACTAGATTTAGCACAGTTCCGATCCAGTTAGATTCAGCCACATATGACATCATCATCCTCCTGCTCTTATCCCACCTAGATCGGCATAACATTTGAATCATGTTATAAGCGGTTTTGGATATGATTTTTACGACGTGCCCACCTCTGGCTGGAAAACAAACACCCAGATCCGGAACGATTATCCTTGCCCCATGTGGGAATCGAACCCACGACCCCGACAAAACCATATTATAGTTTTCATGGTGGTTGGACCACGTCTCGGCTGTTGCACGAATGGGCAGGCTCGTCCGGGTAAGTACCACGACCTCACAGAAGACCGGCGTAAAGTTGAAGTATAATACTTTCGGGTTTCGTCTGGTGAGTGAGGTGGCCGGAGCCCAATTTTCAAACGGTTGTCAACGCATTTGCAACCCTCGGGTGTAGCAGATGTCCATGGGCGGCGGTATTCACTTAACATCAGGTGAACCTTCCGCTCGCTTGGCAACTTTTCACATAAAAAAAAAGTTTAGTAACCGCGCCACAGAGTCATCTATTAGTCAGTTGTCTATATGACATACGAATGAAAAATAAATTTAACGCAACCCTAAATAATTATGTGAATCAACTGAGCCGTCTTTTGTAATTAAATACTTCTACTTCGCGCCGGTCTTCTGTGGGGCCGTGGTACTTCCCCAGACGTGCTTGCCCATTCATACAAGGTCATGCAACAGTTTCTGCTGCTGCGACACTAATTTAATGCCACGGTTCATTTTGTTAACCGACTTCAAAAGAAGGAGGTTACATTTGGCATTCTTACTGTACCTGATATCCGGAGGTATCTTGTGTCCGCAGAACATTCCGATCAGCGGGCTGTCCATGGAGTCGCCGTCTCTGACCTTCACTTTGTCGTAATTGCACGTGTCATGGTTCTCCACTTCGAATGAATGGAATCTCAATGCGACTTGGTAATCCTAGGGGAATTGAAACAAACTGATCAAGATACGGACATTGAAAGGGAGAGTAATAGATGAAGAAATAACGGGAAAAGAAAGTGATCAAGAAACGGATATTGAAAGCGAGGGAATAGATGACATAACGGGAAATGAAAGAAACATAATAAATACATGGGTCAATAGATTGATGCGTTTGATTCAGCCTGTATGACAAGTTATGATAGTGAAATAGAACCGTCACTGCAGTTACGGATTCGTCTTAAGCGTCTTTAAGTAAATTAATAGTACTTAGAAACGTTAATTGTAAAAAAAACCGGCCAAGTGCTAGCCGGACTCGCACACGAAGTGCTCCGTACCATTATCTATAAAAACGGAAAAAAATCATGGCTGTTGTTTCGGAGCCCCACATAAATATTTTTTATTCTGTTTTTAGTATTAGTTATTATAGCGGCAACAGAAGTGCATCATCTTTGACAATTTCAACTGTCTAACTTACACGGTTCATGAGATACAGCCTGGGACAGACAGACATATAGACATACAGCAGAGTCTTAGTAATAGGGTCCCGTTTTACCCTTTGGGTACAGAACCCTAAAAATGATGTTTGTTAAAACGGTTATTATATTTCGGTAACTTGAATGCATTTTTATTTTAAACAAACGAAGTTTCATGGCAGTCATGTGAATGCTGTGGGTTAATGAATGGTAATCGAAATGTTGGGAGCTTTTAATAAAAAACTAACGGTGATGTAATCCGTGGACTACCTTAATTAAAATGTAAATATAATTAAAATATTCGCATATATTATTAATATAATATACGAATAAATATAAAAGAAATTATTAAGAATAAATGATAATTTATGTCGTGGTTACAGCAATGATGAAATGACACATTTTATGTGATTGATCTGGAGATGTTTGAAGTTTTCAATTGTCTCTCTTACCGATACGTTGGGATCCGACTTTGCATGTAAAGAATTCACCAAGTGCGTTTTCAAATTTGTTTTCTCCAAGAAGAGTTTTGTTTAATGAAACTGTTTACGTTTTCTCATGATATTTGGCTCACCTGCGGTACGGAAAGCCTCCAAATGCAGAGCTTATTCGGCTGGTAGTCGTCCGGATAATTTGGGGATTCCAAATGACCGCTATTATCCACTTCTATGTCGCCACCGCACACCGCTGGAATTTAACGCAAATACTTTAAATGCAAGACTATATAATAACAAAAGAGAAAGCTATTCCCTTCCTTCAATATGTTAAACATTTCGCTTTTCCTTAAATTTAAACAAACGTGGAACTTCTATTTTATTCTTCAAAATGTATTTTTTTGAGGTCGTTTCTGGTTTGCAGTAGTCTGAAGAAATACATATTATTCTCTCCAGTAAATAACGATTTAAATTTAGCTTTAACTGTGTAAATTATTATTATAGAATTATTCAAAACTATATATGGATAATAAATAAATTTTGCTTTCTTAGTTCTTCCAAATATACAATTTCCAAATATAAAAGTTATCCCGAACGCTACTTACAAGGAAAACCCCTTGATAATCGTGTTTCTTGATAAATTCACTCGGCCGAAATATTGGAGGCCGATGTATCGAATCATTACCGAATCCCGACCTCAAGTGCTCCGTGATAATTTCACAACAATTACGCAATCATAGAGCTAAACTTCATGCGAAGGTAAGGCCATGAATGTGGCGAACATAATAATATTAATTTTTCATGTACAAAACCGATAGTTTCTAAAAGCACATTTTTTAGATGTCTGTATGTAAATTAACCAGTTTTGGACGTGCCTAATTTAACGGAATAAAATAAATAATAATATTAATGAGCGTAATGTCGTAGTGAATAGGGTCGATGCCTACCACTGGAATATGTTGGTGAACATAGCCTTCTAATATATGGATGAATATACAGCGTGTCGGTAAAACCGCGACAATAAATGAACACATGTCTAAAGCTACTTGCCAATAATCTTTAAAAAAATACAAAATAAAAATAAATCCATAATAAAAAAAAATTCAAACAAACTAATTAAATAAAAAAAACGTTTGTAACAACCTATACAGCTACAACTGACTTATTCATACATTCAGAGACTTTTTCATTCGTTGCCAAAGCGTCGCGTTACATTTCTCTCCTTCTAACAGTATGTTTCATTCAACCCATTCATATGCTTTGTGACCTCTACAAATGAACTTTACGTTACAGTTTTATACGTAAGGGTATTCTAAAATTGTATGTTTTGGAAAATTTGGTGAATATTGATGTTTAAATAATGTTAATGTTTATCACAATTTTAAAAAGTTATCCTCTATATGTGTGTTAATTTATAGTCGCAGTTGTAACGACACGCTGTATATGTCGTAGCGGACCGTTGTCCGTTGTCCTGACGACTTAAAAAAATGTGAATCTAAGCCATTCTCGAATCGACCTGAAGACACAAAAAAAATTTCATTAAAATCGGTCCAGCAGTTTAGAAGGAGTTCGGCGGCAGAAGAATTATATATATTATAATATATACAATTCTAATTTAACATAATACGTATTATGTTATATGTATATATATATTTAGTTTTGAGCTAGGTAAAGTTGTGAAAAAATATGTCTTTATATATTTTATTATAATTATAATAAATAAAAATATTTATTTCTGAACATTTTCTTGTAATAGTTGTTATCAGGTATCAAGCGATGGACTTCCACCATATTTCCCTTTCCTGTTACATAAATCAGTCCCGGATCTTCATTTTTTTTGAGTGGGGCAAAAGCTGACAAATGTCGCCCACGCCAACTTATTTTTTTTTTGATTGACATTTGGAGAAAGCCTACATAGGCCTTGCGGAAATAATGTATCCATCGCTGTTTTTTTTTCACGGTAAAAAGAAAACAGGAACTTACATTACTAATAAAACAACATATTTTTAACGTAAGCACGATTACAACGGACATTGTATTAGTAGAAATTTAATATTAATAAAAGTATATAATACAGGAAGTTTTCTACAAATTTTAAGGAACTTCAACTTCAAGAATATTTTTTGTGAGTGGTAAGCGGACTTAAGAATTGTAGCTGCTTGGTTGGTTGTCTTACCCTCGTAGTGGGCCCTGAATCCCCTATGCGGCTTCGGCCTCAAGCCCGGCTGGTACACGACCGTGAGCCGCGACCCGGTGGACCTCATCATGGGGCCCTTCCCGGATCCGCAGATCCGCCCCAGCACTGGCGCGTTCGGCATGTACCCGTCGCGGATCTCCACCCACTCGGAGCGGCACCCGTCCGACTTGTGGATGTCGATCTCTGTTGGCATTTTCAGTCGTTAGAACAGCCATTTCGAATTGTCCGAGCAATGTGCATCTTGTATCCTGTATTATTTGTTTGTGCTCTCAGTCCCGAGACTATTGAAGCTTCATCTAACGCAGAACCGGTGGGCTAGCCAGAACCCACGGGTTTGGGACTATGTACAGCTGTGGGAATACGCGTTTTTAGGACGTACGTATTTTAAACACAAACTGTGTTCCCAACGAAGCTCAATAAAGTCTACGGACTGAAAGCGAAAACATCAATCGCTAATCATCAAAATATAATTTTTAAATATTGTACCAGATAAAGAAAATTATCACGAGTTAAAAAATAACTAAAAAAAGAAAGAATCAATACAGGAAGATAGAAAAATAATCAATTCTATTTTCATGACAAACCTTTTTAATCGCATATAAAATTAAAAAAGGGGTTAATACGAGTGTATTAGAGATTTTTTGTTACTATAATTTATTACAAAAGTTAATATGGAATACATAATACACATACTTTCTCAGATAAATCTCAGTATTATGTATTCGTACTCAGCTGAAGAAAGAATTTACTAAAAATTCAAGGCGTTTGATAGTACATACTATTAAATTAAGATTTTGGAGTCAGGAACAATAGGAGGAGTGAGTAAATAAACGTTATTAACCCACATACACAACAATAAATACGGGGCACAATACTATATTAATGATCTCGACTTTATCTCGAAGAAAGACTACAATAAATTATAAAAAACATGGAGTTTTGTACATATGTTCGTATAAATTTAGTATAAGGCGAACTAAATGCCCGACGCATAATCTGATGCAGAGATTAAAGAAGTAGTTGCAAAAGTAAGGAAAAACTTACACACACAAACGTACAAATACTACTTACATATATTCACACGCATGCATATATACATGTATATAAATATAGTTTTTAAGTAAAATTAAGGAGTTTTCGGTATTTATTACCAAAAATTTTGAAAGATTTGTCTTTTAAAATCCAGTTACCATTCAATAGACTTAATAAGAATAAATGTATAAATAAATATCTCTACTAACTAACTGAAGTTATAGTAAAAACGATAAGGTAGCTTGCGAGTGCTCAAGAATTAATAGATAGCACTTGTCTAAGAGTAGATTAACATATTTCTAGAAGTACTAGTTTATGGGCACCGCATGACGTGGAATTAATGTGGCACGATTAATACTAGACATTCTGCTTATCCCGCATTATTCTCGCAGTGTGAAGCGACGACTATAGATTATTGCTTAATAAATATTAGTTGTTTTATCAGATGTTAAAGTTAGTTATGAGAAGTTGTAACAATTTATTTTATCCCCTCTGCCAAGAGGAGCAGAGTTGTCTGTCCTCCTTGTCCTGACAATGGCGAACCTGGCTTTAAGTACTACGTCTATGTGTCAACTTTTGAATTGTGATGCTGAATTTGGCTTTTAAGGTGACTGGCGTGGGGAGTAGTGGACGTGCCTCTTGCGCCAGAGGGTGTGGGTTCGATCCCCACTACTGGAAAAACATTGTGTGAAAATAGACATGTTTATGTTTATGTAATATATGATATGTATTTATTTACAAAAGATAAGTATGTATATATTTAAGTAGATATGTCCAACAGTTTTCTAGTACCCGTAGAACAAGTGTTGTTTAGTTTGGGACTAGAGAACGTGTAAAAATGTTTCCGAAAACATTTATTTATTTATTATTAAACACGTCATCTGGAGATCAGTTTAGGATTTCGCACCATCTGCATTACGTCATCAGAATGAAAGTACGATTCGTTTCGTGTGTTAATTCTGACCGATAAAAATATTGTTCCGTACAAATTAATCCCATAAATCGCCAATCGTATCCCCGCGTGCGGCTGATTAATAGCGCTACAGTTAAACAACCGCAACCGCCGACTAAGCCCCGCTATGGGCGGCGAATATTTACGATTGCCCGACCGCAAATTTACGATGACCCCGCCCGCTCTACGCCCGCCACAAAGAGCGCGGGTCAGCGCGGTGGCTCTAATTAAAATGGGCGTTGATAGGCGCATCGACAGCTAATATCAGAACTCGAGAGCTATCTCACACCGTGCGTAACGGGCACTGTTACGTTACGATTAAATTAAAGGCCATTTTCGCGTGGAGCGATGGACGTATCGCACGTACCGTCTGTTGACTTTTAATCGAGCCGTGGCGCGGTAAATTCGCCGTAATGGATGTGCACACAAACACGTCGATACAAACATTAATAAATTCCATTCGTGATACGAATGATGAATTTATTCATTGCGAAAATTTTGAATTGCGAACATATTTGTATTATCTTCAACATTTTTGCAATATACCTATTTACCGTACGAATTTTATCGCGTTTCAATTCGATATTGTATTCCGGGTCTTTGAATGCTTCACGGCGTTTATTGTCACGAGATGGACTCATCCATGTAGAAGTAAGTCACTATGGACTTGCGATAAAATTTCTGGAACTATTATATATATATATATATGTATATATATATATATATATATATATATATATACATATGTATATATGCATGCCCCACCGCTGGGCAAAGGCCTCCTCTATACAGAGGGTATCAGGGCATAGTGCACTACGCGGCCAAACTGCGGATTGGCAGACTTCACATATCTTCGAAAAATATTTTTTTTGTTTTTATTTCGAAAATATGCAGGTTTCCTCACGATGTTTTCCTTCACTGCGGAGCACGTGATAAGTCAGCACTTAAAGTTAAAAACTTCATTGGTGCCGGCACCGGAGAACGAACTCAGGTTGCTCGAGTATATTGAATTAAAGGCGAGCGCCCGGACACTGAGCTATCACGGCAGAGCTGTGTGAATATTATATAAAAAATCTTTAACGTTTTTAATAATTTTAAGATTGAGATATATGTTTACAGAGTTTATTTACTCTCCTTACATTATGTGAAAAAAATCTAATATTTACTTTATTATTGCAAAATTTCCTTTATCTCTAAAACACTCGTAATGTGAATATGCGTTATATCTCTCGAGTTAGAGTATTTCCTAAGCTGATGTTTCGATTAATCACGTTAATGATTCTAAAACCTCCCAACTAAGCTAGTAACGACAACTGAATGTATACGATCAGTGTTTTGGAACCACAATTTTGTAATGGCCCTGTCGCTACGCCATTCGCCGAAGCAAATCAAGCGATCACAAGGAGCACTGCCCAGTCGCAGGGGTCCAGTTAAAGTGGACGCTTTCTAAAGCTCTATTAGCCATTAATGCCGCAAAACCAAGTCGAAAGTTATTGCTTCCCTACCTTTCGCTTATGTCGTATTGTTGTTGTTAATTTAACTGTGTTCGGAGATTTTTGTAGCGAAACAAGAAATTGGTAAGTACATCGAATTGAAAATAATTTACGGAATTTTACGCGTTTATCAGTCCCGTGACCATGAAATCTGTAAAGTGTGCGAAGTACAAAAAAATTAAACGTGAAAAAATTCAATCAATTTGTTTTATTTATTAAATAACATAATGGTCAATACACCTGTTGCATTTAACACAAAACATTAGTTTTGTAGTATTTTTCAGGTCTGTAAGATAAGATCTGTGAATGTGAGTATAATATATATATTAAAAAAATATAATCTGTATGAGTATGACACATGAATTGGCGCGCTTTTTTGGCACGTTTATTGCACGGTCGTTCGTAGGCGCGTCGTTAAGCCGTATTGAACGCAGAAATGTTTGACCGATGAAGTTTTCTGTATTGGTACCGTATGTTTTATATTTTTCATTATTTAGGTAAGAGTAGTAGTTTAGACGGTGGAAGCACGCAGCAGCCTCGGCTGTTGCACGAATGGGCAGGCCCGTCCGGGTAAGTACCACGACCTCACAGAAGACCAGCGTAAAGTGGAAGTATGACAAATACTCTCGCGTTTCGTCTGGTGAGTGAGGTGGCCGGAGCCCAATTTCCAAAAAGGTTGTCAACTCATCTGTAACCCTCGGGTGTAGCAGATGTCCATGGGCGGCGGTATTCACTTAACATCCGGTGACCCGTCTGCTCGTTTGGCAACTGTCATTTAAAGCAATGTTTCCATACGGCGTTATCTTTCAAAGCGAATTTGATTACTACAAAAATGAAACATAGGTACCTATATATAAATACTCTGTTTTGGTATACACTAAAGGTCCGTGAGCGTAATTTACCTAATTAAAATTCATAAGAAACATAACAACAACATTATTTAGTTTGGAAATAAGTTTAAGATATAAGTAATAATAATAACCCTGATTTTGAACTTAGAAAACCTAAAAAAAAACAAGTGATTTCGCAGATATTAAAAAAGTGGTATATTTGTATATATGTATTACGTGTACATTTTCACCACATTACGATGCACTTGTTCAAGAGAAAAGGCGAAAATGATCTGAAATTTTTGACCGTTCGTCCAGGAAAATTATTTTTTTTTTTCAGAACAATTTTAGGGTTCCGTACCCAAAGAGTAAAACGGGACCCTTTTGCTAAGACTTTGCTGTCTATCATCACGCAATATATTTCATGAAGCGTAACATTTAGACATTTGAAATTTTCACAGATGATGTATTTCTTTTGCCGCCATAACAACAAATACTAAAAAACAGAATAGAAATATATTCAAGTACCTCTCACCAGATCTAAACTGAAACTGTATGTAATGCTATTTTCAGCACTTCTGTCACCTTTACATGCAAGAGCTTTGGACTACTTTTAAGTTTTTAATTAAGAACGACAGAAATTCACTTTATAATAGTGAAAACCTCGTCGAGTTAGATTTTTTTTACTTTAGAATACGGCATCTTTTACTTATTATTAACTAGCGACCCGCCCCAATATTATAATATTAATCTCCATACATTACTCTATACCTTTTATATATGTAATATTGTATTTATTTTTTAAACATTAACACGAGATGGCGATGGGATTGCCGCAACGTAACTGCAACCCTAGGGATGTTGTAGTCGCCTGAC